TTGGGAAAGACTGCTCTAGATACACAGACAAGGTCACGAGTTACACGATGCTAAGTGGTTATTAACAATGCTATTTTTACGCTTTTGAGGCACCCAAATCACTGAAACGAATGGGTTTTGTTGAACTTGAGACTAGTTGGGACCATTGAATGTGGAATATTGAATTTTAAATAACATTTCTGATTTCACAGGTGTATATTTTTAACGATAGGACGAAGATCTTCCACTGAAAGGGTGGAATTGCTCGATAGACAAACGACACAAGTATTACTGTTTGGAACTTGTATGGATGCAAACGCTGTATGCAAATGTATATTCGCTGGTAGCTTAAGGGGCTATTTCAGCTACGCCCGGACGGGTAGGTTAGCTCGCGGGCTCAACCTGAGAGAATTTGCTTACATTAGCCCTAGCAAGAGCAGTGCTTCGCAGAAACTACAACCCGATCGGAATCGCAACCCACTGAGTAGATCCGACGAGAAACTCAATGGGCTGTATCGAGTTAGTTCGTTTGTCCAACTCTTCGATATCATTGTTCTCAGCTCGTTGATTAAAAAATCAATGAATTCAACGAGGACGGAAACATCGTTAGCTACCTACTAAATACAGATAAATTAAGTCAAGAACGGATTAATGATATTCCAAAAACAAATTTTCAAAAAACTTTTTTACATATCTTGCTTGTATCATGCATGCATGCCCTTTGGTTCAAAGTAATTCTAATGCTCGTACAATAATATCACTCCAGTCCACACACCGAGTACTGCTGTTTGACTATGTTGCTTTAAAAAAAATCATATGATAGACCTCCTATAATATTAAATAACCTTCTCGAAAATTCAATCAGAATGCGTGATGGCCACGAATAAAATACTAGCGAAGGCTTCTTTATAACCACCAATCGCTCATACATTTAAAATATGTTTAAAGTATAAACACACAAAGTAGACGGGTATAGATTGAGCCCAAAGCCTTCGGCAGTAATTATTTACTGAATAGGAAGCGTATTTAAATTATTTTAGGTCGATGCACATTCCGGTTCTCTTACCGGTGCGAAAGAATTTAATACTAGTATTTTTACCATTTTAATTGCGGATAGAAAGATTTATCTATGCAAATAAATTAGTTTCAAGTATATTTAACTTTCTAATTTTTTAGATTGATTGTTTGTTTGACGTCTAAATGTACCTACGTAATTATTTTTATGATTAAAACACTAACACTAGAGACGTTTCAAGCACTTTTTTTCCTACCTAAGCTGATGGTCTAGAGAGACCATATCAGCGTCACCAGGCTAGTAGATTAGTTCACGGGGCTCAAACCTGACGATGTTGCTGACACAAACCCTAGCAAGAGCCGTGCTTCGCAGAATCTACCACCGGATCGGAAACGTGACCCAATGAGAAGATCCGACGAGAAACTCAGTGGGCTGTGTCTATGGGTTAATTTACTACAAGCACAGAGGCATCGCGATTTACATGAACAATAGAGTACTATCGTTTAACGCGTGCGTAAATGATTAATTGTAATAAAAAATCTATATTTTTTGCGCGATTTTAATTCTTAATAATGTCCTCGCATTGAAAGTTCGGAAATTGAAATTTTAAAGACATTTCCAGGCGTTGCGCGCTTCCAAACATTTTCGTTCAAAGTCATAAAATCTATACTAATATATAAATAAACAGTGATTTACGGATGTTCAGTTATAGCTACTGAACCGTGCATCCGATCGACTTAAAACTTGGTATCCATGTAGAAAATACATGTACTGAATAGATAGGCTAATATTTATATGAGTGTTGGACTCCCTAATAATAATGGCAATAAATAATAAAGTTAATTTTAAATGCCCAGCGAAGCCGGCGAATGCGGCTAATGTCTAATAAGATTACTAATGCCGTATTCTGTATTTCTGGACTAATCTCTGAAACGGTTGGCAGATGAAATGATTAACAGAACAGTATTTAAAACTTCTCAGAGATTTTCTAATAGGTTCATCACTAAAAAAATATGTGTTTTTGTCGTATAATTCAAAACGAGCAGACTACAATTACACAGTGGATATATAACATTAACAAAGATCATTTGAAACTAATTGAATAAAATTTAAATGATCAACGATATAACATAGACATGCCTCGGTGGTCGACCGCAATAAAATACCTTCTCCATTAGTACAATGAGATTACACACCACGCAATGATATCAATGTACAGTCGGTGTCAAATTTAATGTGCAAATCTCTTTAGCTTAGGTCGATCAGGAAAATAAAATTTGAAAACATTTCTCTTTGAATATGTATATTTTAATATTATATGAGTTTAATTTATGTATGTACTAATTAAATGCGGTATTCGTCCGCTGTGATCCGTTAATCGTTTTTTTTTTAAATCTATTTCTTGAAACTAATCGTACGCTCTCCACTCTCAATACTTCAGTCCACCTTGCTATCGACACAGCCGAGGATAGGCAGGAATAGCGCAGGATAATACAGGAGAAAATTGTAAGAGGAGGCCACAACCCTCAGCATTAAGGATTATCGACGCAACGAGGAGGAGGACGCACTTTATGTTACATTTTCATATTTAAAAAAAAATCGATTTCTTGAAACTAATCGTACGCCCTCCAATCTCACTCAAAAAAAATCGATTTCTTGAAACTAATCGTACGCCCTCCACTCTCGCTGAATAAAATCGATTTCTTGAAACTAATCGTACGCCCTCCACTCTCACTCAAAAAAATCGATTTCTTGAAACTAATCGTACGCCCTCCACTCTCACTCAAAAAAATCGATTTCTTGAAACTAATCGTACGCCCTTCACTCTCGCTCAAAAAAATCGATTTCTTGAAACTAATCGTACGCCCTTCACTCTCGCTCAAAAAAATCGATTTCTTGAAACTAATCGTATGCTCTCCACTCTCAATACTACAGTCCACGTTGCTATCAACACAACCGAGGATAGGCAGGAATGGCGCAGGATAATATAGGCGAAAATCGTTAGAGAAGGCCACGACCCTCAGCATTGAGAATTATCAACGCTAGGAGGAGGAGGAACCCCTCTATCTTACATTGACGGTATTATGACAGAAAAATTCTCTGGAATACTCCAAAATCCTAGAAAATTTAACTTAGAAGATCCACCAAGAAACTCACACACACACACAAGTAGTCTATCAAAACATTATTAAACAAACATAAAAAAAACATACAATGGACTGACTCGGTGGTGCAGTATTTAGCGCGGCCCCGACTGCTGAACTGAAGGTCGTGGATTCATCATCCACATTCCACATTCCACATCCGTGTGAAGAATAGATTCACCAACTCTTTATCTGGACATTTCATATCTATATATTTAAACGTATAAATGTAGAATCCGTCATTGGGGTCCACAATACACGGAATCCAGGGGTCAGATGTACGTGACTAATCTTTTATTTATTGCCTATATAGGCAGACGAGCATACGGCCCACCTGATGGTAAGCGGTTACCGTCGCTCATGGACGTCAACAATGCCACCCATGGACTTCAGCAGTGACGTAAAAGTAATCTATTGTTTATTAATTAAGTATAATACATTATTTTGAGTAATTCATAACAATACAAGATCACAAGTCGGATACTTGTAGAACTTCTAAATCATTACGAAATGAAGTCAAGATTCCTTAATACGTCGCGACAATTGACACAGAGATTAATTAGTTAGTCTAGCTGTGCTAACCATGTTTGGGTTTATGGATAGATAGAAATTGAATTATTATTTTAGGTCGCAATTAGCGCTTGTAAATGTACACTAGTTTGTTGTTATTACTTCCGATACTAGCCGGGTGTAAAAAGCTTAGAAACATGTACACAATACAGAAACATATACACGGATAGACATTAGGCGAATCGGCTCCCGTCAGGGATGTCACAGGGAGATAGAATGGTCTAGGCAACATTGTTTTGTTGTCGAGGGAAATTAAAATGTATATTGACAGTATTAAAATTTTAAATAATTATATTATTACATATCTACTTATATTATAAGGTTAATAAGACAATAGTTTGTAATATTGTGGTGTAGATGAATGAAGAGGAAAAAGAAGTTTGCAAGTTTGTGAGAAATATGTCGGAGAAACATCACGGATAACTTCTGAACGAAAAAATCATTTCATACATAGCTGCCTGTAAATTCCATGTTAAAATATAGTCAGCATTACTACTCGTAATACGTTTTGGCAGCAGTCGGCTATGTCCCATTGCTGATGTCCCATGGACGACAGTGAATACTTACCATCATATTATATCATATGCATAAGTGTATAATCTATGATCATATGCGCCGCATACTTTTTTTTTTAACGCTGGGGAATCCGTTTACGGATACCCGGTCGAGAGGGGTAACAGACCGGGTTATGTCGGACTCCGGCACCTCCAGAGAAGAAGAGGGAGAAAAGGAAGACAAAAGTCCTCCTCTTCTTCCAATTCCCACCGGGAGACTATGCGCCGTATGCCTGTGCGTCAAAATCATGTCTCATTACAAATTAAAATTTTTGGAATATGCATTATTAGTCATCAGCCACTATTATATAGACAAGTACATAATTGTTGAATAAATAGCTGAATTTATTTCACGGGTTCTTCGTTGAACTGTGACATTTTTTTAAACGGCGGTAGAATTATTTATTAATTCATTAATGTTCAATAACAATATGCTATGACGACATTAAAATTAATTCTACTTTAGATAAAAAAATTGGTTAACCACTTGTGTATGTAACTGTACAATAACCACAAAATCACACACATGCGATTCCAACTGAAACACAGAACAGATCCATTTGAGTGCTATCACCAAAACGCCAATTAGAAGCACAAACCGCCGACTTTTATCGGCCATTAACTAGCAATCAAGAACTAAATTAATTGGGCAATGAAAACTAAGTTACAACGACTAGGAAATGACCATTTTGTATATCGGCTTGGCAACTTAGAGTTTTAACAAGCTAGCCACGTGAAATGAATGTAATATTAAGTTTTTTGTTAATTTACTGTACGGGTTTCAGTGATGGATACATTGTTGGGGCTGGATGTGAGTGATTTGAATAGATTTTAATAAATTGTCCGACCTTAAATGGCGTTAACAGTGAATTGGCTGTACTTCTAGCGCTGCCAATGTCTAACATAAAAGTCAAATTACACCAAATAGTAATTCACGCATTTTTATTGTAATGTTGCAAAGATTATAAATAGCAATATCATACTTTAACGAGTCCAAATTTGATAAATGCAAGATTTTTTCAGTATTTATTTCTCAAATTAATATACCTAAGAATAGAAAGTAGTTTGTACAAAACTGCGAACGACATGCCGTAATAAGTGCTTAATTACAAAAAATCGCAAAAATCGGGTTGTTCGAAATAAGCTTACTTTGCAAAATATACAAAATAGCACATTTATTAAGGAGAAAATTGTCAAGTCTTTCACCATTTTGAAATCTCTGCCAAATACTTAAGTTAGTTATTCTTTTAAATAGCTTGCCCAAGAATAGTATGATACTTTTTTCCAAAATGAAGTTTTAAAGTCAGTTTATTACTGGTGGTAGGACCTCTTGTGAGTCCGCGCGGGTAGGTACCACCGCCCTGTCTATTTCTGCCGTGAAGCAGGAATGCGTTTCGGTTTGAAGGGTAACTACACTGTGATCTTAGAACTTATATCTCAAGGTGGGTGGCGCATTTACGTTGTAAATGTCTATGGGCTCCAGTAACCACTTAACATCAGGTGGGCTGTGAGCTCGTTGACTCATCTTAGCAATAAAAAATAAAAAAACTGACTATACTTTTATATGCCTTAATAAAACTTAATTTGTCTTAATAAATTAGTTAATAATGTTCGCTACGTTTATTTGTGGCTGTCATTAATAACGACGCCAATTTGGATTATGTCTTTCAAAAATCTCTAGAAAATTTGGGATTACATGCGCGAATTTGCGATTACAGAACTAAAAAATACGGCCTAAGGTATCGAACCGAAACGATTACTGCTTCACGGCAGAAATAGGCAGGGTGGTGATACCTACCCGCGCGGACTCACGAGAGGTCCTACCACCAGTAAATGGTGTATTTATTATTGGACCTATGTATTTATATTATATTTATATTAAACGTATGAATTATAAGTATGCACGTATATTATAACACGTAAATCAGTTTCTTAAGTGCCAGATGATCGTGTGTGATATCCGGGGCATAGATATAGGATTATGTACTTAATATTAATTGAGCATTTTATAAGCTCTCGTCACTGACCCAAGAAACCGATTACCATTCTAAAAAGAGAAGAACGAAACGTCATAGACAATTGAACATTAAGTAAATTGAGCACTCCGCCGAGCGCTCAATTAAGTTATAATAGTATTTCAATGGTATTCATTACAATGGCGGTTGTAATGACATCACCCTAGCAATGATATTTAATGGCTCGCAGTAAAACAACAACAATATTGATTGACCGTAAAGTTTGTTTTAGTGTTTGTTAGAACAAATATTAAGTAGCTTTCTCACGGCTACGTGATATACATAATTACACGATAAACGATTGAAATCAATTACGGCAGACTTTCAAATGAGCACGCTTTTCGTGGTCTAACCGCTGTAAGCTGAATATAAAAAACAAAATTACATACAAATTATCAATGAATAAGGGAACTTACTTAATATAGACACAGGTTACTGTGTGGGCAGTTTATTTAACAGCGCGGGAATTTAAAAAAACATTTAAATTTATATTTTCACTGATTCATTAAAATTAGACAATTGACAGATTGTAGATGTCGTGGCCTAAAAGATAAGACGTCCGATGCATTCGTATAGAAACTATGCGTCTGTGCCTATGAAAAAAATAATTTGAAATATTGAATATCAACTAAAAAATTAAAAATAAATAATAGTGTAAAAAAACTTAACAAAATACGCTTTTATAGTGGGGTGCTTTTCAGGATATTATCAAAATAACCCTTCTACTCCTATCTATTCATAAAATATTTATAGCTTGGTACTGATACCATGCACCCCACGCTTTTTTTTACAATAAAATTATTTTTTCTTACACTATTTTTAAATCAAATTTATTAAAATTTATTTCCTCTTTTTTAGTTACATTTTCTATAAAAGCGTATTTTGTTAAGTGTTTTTACACTATTATTTATTTTTAATTTTTTAGTTGTATTTCAATATGTATTTCAAATTATTTTTTTCAATCTTTTTTTTAAATATTAAATTGTCATCGGCCCTTAATAAATATACCAAATTTCGAGTTAATCCGACGTTTTGAAGGGGTCAAAATCATGTTCAAAGATTCCGTTACAAACATACACATACCTACGTCTGAAGCTAATACGTATTAATATGATGTATTTTTGCGGCAAATACCAAATCCACTGTAATTGGATCTAAGTTATAATTAATATTATTTAGCGGAAGGGGGCACGTGTAGTAGTATCATTACCATCACGAAGCAGTTTTATGTTCTGGTTTGAGCGGTGAATTAAATGTTAAAGTACAATGAAGTCTTCATCCTCGTGTTTCAATTTCGGTGGTGACATTCACGTAGAAATGTCCACAAGCTGTAGTAACCACTTATCACCGTCGTGGTTACTGTTTTGCCTACCCATAGTAATGAAAAAAAAATCGAATTGGAAGAAGCACAGATAAAATGTTTAATGAATATACATTTTTGGCGCGAAATTTTAGTTGAATCTTTCTTTTTATTAATTCGCAGTGAACGTACGTTTCGCTCAAATGCTGTACACGGACACGAAATACCAAGTACTACGCGAAGAGATGATCAAAGCCAACACCCGAAACCTGGTATACCATTGTCGCGCTGATAAAACCGACTGCGACGCAGCCTTGGCCAAGATGCGTTATAAAGCTAGCAAGCACTTCTATGCGCTCGCCAAGGCCGTGGTAGACTATGTTAAGAATAAACGCCAAGCACGGCCCACTGGATATGTTGGTGAGGATACGTTATTTTCTTTATAGGCTCTGTTTAAATCTCAAACCCCATTACTGTTTAATTTCGCGCTTAAACAACAAAGCATAGAAATAGTCCAGACTAAAATCAGGTGATGGCCACGAAAACTGTAGAGTATTCGAAATGTCAAAAATAATTTATTGACCACAGAAAAAATAAAACATTCCTCGTCCGCGAGTATCGCTAAAGTGAAAATCCCATACACAGCGCGTCTCTACAGCCGCTGTTACCACGTATCATCCAGCTCTGTGTGCCTAGAGCGAGTTTTCTAACGTTCTCGATTGCGTAAAAGTTAACTCAAATTTGTATGGAGTTGAAACTTTTGCCTACATTTGCCGCTAGGGGCGCTGTTCCAACTGCATTTAAATTTAAGTTAACTTTTACATTTTTTGGTCATATTTTTTTATTTTTCATATTTGGTCATATTTTGGTCATATTTTTTGGTCATATTTTGGCTCATATTTTTTGGTCTCAAAAAATATGATCATATTTCTGAATTTCGCAAAAAGCTCAAGTGGCTCCCAGTCCGTTTCCGCAGAAATACTAGAATGTTGTGCTTCCTATTTAATATCCTACATAATCCTAACTACCCACAATATTTACGTGATCGCTTTACCTATGCCCGTCCCTCCATTGCTCCTTGTAGAACACACATTAAAACTCTCCTCAATTGCCCTGTTCATAAAACACATGCTTACGCAAAATCGTTTTCTGTACAAGCAGTTATACTTTGGAATTCCCTCCCTCCAAGCATACGAGCGTGCAAAACCATAGCAGCGTTCAAGAAATCTGTTAAGGAACATTATTTATCCTTACCATCTTAAATAAATTATATATATTTGTATAATGTATTATAATATAAAGTAAGTATATGTGTGTATGTTATATATATGTATGTGTGTGTGTGTGTGTGTGTATTTGTATGTATATATATTGTTTTGTATCTTGTAATATGTATATATTACTATATGTAATGTTTACTGTATGCACTAGGTTTGTGTTCCTAATTCTTCTTTCCTTTTGCGGGCCTACTGGAAGAGATTTCAGCATGAAATAAGTAGTGCCCTTGTACTCTGTATCCTTATTGACGTGTATTTTCTAACAGCTGTGTGTACAAAATATATTAAATATATTAAATAGAGAAAGTTAAAAAACTCGCACTAAGCACACTGGACTGATCTCACTATTTCCCGACCGATATGACCTTCTTAATCAAGGCTTTAGTCACTTCGAGGGCGTGCAGCGACTTTGCCATGCCCACATGCTATTATCCATGCCACTGTTACTGTTAATGAGCCACAATGACCACTTGCGACCAGGTGAAGGTACGAGAGACGAATACTAAAGTAGTTTGAGAGTTCTTAAAAAATAATTCCAGGCACGGCGACGTTCTGCCAAGACAATATCTGTGTTCCGGACACCGATCCACCGATCGTGATAGGAGGATGTTACACGCTGGTCTCCTGCGGCGGAAACCAAACCTGGCACCTGGACCCCGTTGTCTACAAGAAAAAGAAATCTAGAATGTTTTAGTTCAATACAGATTTTACCGAAAATAAAATTTAATATAAAGTCTTTTGAATTAAGTTGCTGCGAACTCTTTTCTCAAACACGCTGGTGATTAAAATGGCCTTCCGAATTCCAAACCTTGGTCTTGATGACCGAGTTTGTTATGACTTTGATCCTATCAGTGTCGTTACAGGGTCACCTAGATTAGAGACTCCAGCTTAGAAACTCCACTCTAGAGATTTCCTGAAATATTCATCAAAATCGAGCCAGCCGTTTTGGGAATATAGACACAAGACTTTTATTTGTATATAAATTGGATCTTGGTAATTAATTATTCACGTATGACCTTAAAACAGACGACTCTGTGGCACTACGGCTCTATGGATTCGGCTTAGAATAGCATTACTTCATCTTCAAAAGGCATCAAATGGTTCTTGACTTTGTTTTTGATAATTTCACTTTTGGCATGTCTTAACTTAAAATATCACTCCATTCAATGGTGAATTCGGCATAGTCCCAGAGGTGGCTTTAGCTATGATGCAGGGCTTGCACCCGGGCGCAGCATTGCTAGGAGGCGCCGGCCTCAGCCGTTTCAATTACTCTATTACTTATGTACCTATTCTATTTTGACCGCGTGCTTCCTAAAGAGCGCTAGGGTGACACACGAGCGCTTTATGGGCTAGAGATGAGATACCCTCAGTCCATTACGTACCAAAGACGTATTATTGGTAACTCATGTACGCTTTTGCCTCATCACTAGCATCTCTAAGTACCCAGGCCACATTAACCGCATCTTGACCCAATATATTAAATATTAGTACGCACTCCAGCATCGGAGCAAGAAGCAAGTAGCTAATTGAAAACATACATTCGTAATCCACAAGCCAGTTAAAACAAAAAGTAACATCACACCTGTTCCATTGTTCAGATAACTTGACGTTTCATTGTAATTTAACCTATAAAAGGATTAATCTCTAGCGAATTGACGTCTTCGTCGATATAAGGCACTGTCGAAGTATGCTATGAAATGTTCGCAAACATGGATTCACGTATAATATATGTAATTAAATACGTTTTCATTTTACATGCTTTGTGCGTTAAGGCTGAAATACGAAATGGTGGTATCATGAACAAGTAAGTAACCATGTTTTTTAATAAGCATTTCATATAAAACCCCTGTTACCAAACATGGTAGTTTGGCTGTTATACGATCTCGCAGACAACACAAAATGAACACCGCCAATCATTTTGAAACATGGGATCTGAATTTTATGCTTCAGAGCGGAATGCATCACTGCTTTGCGACATAAATAGCTAGTAGGATCATGGTGGACCCATAGGGGCTCACAAAACCTATAAGTTCTGCTTTGATTACACAATGTATATAATAATATAATAAAAGCCTTGAGAGGCTATATCAGCGTTACCCTAGCGTGTAGGTGAGTTCTGGGGGCTCAAATTGGAGGTGTTAACACTGGCCCTAGCAAGAAGGTGCTTCGCAGAATCTACCACCGGATCGGAAACGCGACCCACTGAGAAGATCCGGCGAGAAACTCAGTGGGCTGTGTCTGTGGGTTACAATTGCCGTACTCACTTTACTAAGTTACTAATTGTTCCGAACTACAGCTGAACATAAGCCTACAAAATTTCAGAGTTACCAATTAAACAAATATCCGACACTCATAAATTATGTCATAACTAGACAAACAATTAAACTAAAAGGAAGATCAAACTTGTAATATTTACTCTGGCACTCTAACAACATATTTACTACGCTTCGTCTCAGATACAACAATTTTATATTTTGAACAAACTAGAGGCCAAGTGACGTCACAAGAGTACTTCCTAAAGCTAGGTTCGGAATTGAACTTACGTAATGTCATAAACATAGTATTTTCTACGGTTTCTACAAGCTGTTGATACAAAACCACTTTTACGGCTTAAGTACGCGTTTTATATTGTTCATAAGTTTTGGTAATAAACTTACGTTTCGGAAACTATCGAATGCTACGAATACTTTACGTGGTCACTAACGACCAGTAAAGCTTTGATGTATCGGAAACATCTATATATTAATACGTGAAGCAAAAACTTTGTATCCCTTTTTACGAAAATTGCGCGGACNGTTGATACAAAACCACTTTTACGGCTTAAGTACGCGTTTTATATTGTTCATAAGTTTTGGTAATAAACTTACGTTTCGGAAACTATCGAATGCTACGAATACTTTACGTGGTCACTAACGACCAGTAAAGCTTTGATGTATCGGAAACATCTATATATTAATACGTGAAGCAAAAACTTTGTATCCCTTTTTACGAAAATTGCGCGGACGGAGGAGTATGAAATTTCCACACTCATAGAGAATATAGAGAAGAAGTGCACAATGCTAATTTGTTTTTAAATGCATAAAAGATGCATTAAATCAATAAAGAAAACATTACGCACACTACCATGTATTTGACACAACACATACATAAAAATATACTCCTTGTTTACTGTCTATTGGGAAACTTTTGTTATTGTTTAAAGTCTGTGGTCGAATTGAAAATAGATTAATATTGTTTGTCATTAATATCATTGATCTATAGTGCAGTTTTGGCGAACACTGTCATAATATTATCGAAATATAATAGTGTTTGACAATAGAACCATAATAATTTTTAAAATTTATAATTTCAATTAATTATAGTCGAATCTCGACTACTGCGGGCCACTACTTTGCATAAAAACGACAATTCATATGATAAGTATTCTCATTTGTTTTCTGACAGGCTAATCAAGGTGAAGCCTGTCGGGCCTGATTTCGCCAAGGTATTCGTGCCCTTGACTGAGATCCCACCTCCCTTGAGACCGCACACTCACAGCCCCTCCGGGAGACGACACTTCGAAGACTGCGGAGACAAGCCTAAAGCCAAGGAAGTCGACGAAGGAGCTAAAGTAGAGTTTTTCGGGGAATATTACGACGATCACGTGTCTAAGACCGTGGCTACTGTTATTATACCGGACCACATCGATCGTGAGTAAAATGAAAGCTAACATTTTCTTCATTCGCTGTCAGAGTTTAGTACACAGGCTTGGTTGGGGCGCTGGTCTGCAGTATGCTTTTGTTTCACCAAGGCAATTTAAACTTTAACACCACGTCACAAGGTCCGCCCATCGAAGGTGAACCAGGTGAACTCACTTCATACTCAGTGGCTACGCAACTTTACAATATGATTATATGTCTCGAATCGCTTTAAACTTTCCATCATCATCATTATCATCATCATCATCAGCCCACAGTCGTCCACTGCTGGAAATAGGCCTCTCCCAATCCACACCACTGAGCACGAGTCTCGGCTTCTCTCATCCAGCTTTTGCCCATCATTTATTTTACCACGTTCAGCTTAGGACAGGTGTGGATAATATATAATCATGCATATAATTGTCGGAGTGAGTTATCGACTTAAAGTGGCCACACCCAAAAACTGACTAGAAAGAAGATAGACGGATTGATCTCCCAACATCCCACCCGCAGTCTTCAGTCTACCCGTGACCACGGCGCTTGCAACTGCGCTTGCAACACACTGAAATGTCGGGAACAAAATCTGATTAAAAATCATGATTTAATCCTTTTAGTTTAAATAAAAATGACGCTCCTACTTACCAATCAATATACATACGTGCGAATATATTATGTACATTTATGTACATACGTGCTTTATTTAAAATAGTTTCAAAAGTATCAATATTCTTAAAAAATATGACAACATATATATATATATATATATATAGCCACGAACGCTAAACGATAACGAGTAACTCTTTACTTCACAGTTCAACCGTGTGTGATTTTTTTTCTATACGCTTTCAAAATATAATTGGTGTCATTTTTTCATTATCTTCAGGCAAACATTTCGAGGTGACAACTTCAGTTCCCTACCTGACCGTCGGGCCGATCGAAGCTATCGGATACCACCCCAGCACAATCAGCAGTGAGCACCCTCGCGAGTGCGAGAAAATCTACCAAGAGCATCTAGCGGAGATTTACTCCGATGAGACGGCTGACTACTCGGAAGAATCGCTGGAGATGGCCCGAATGCCGCTCTTCCCTCAAGACATCCCGCCACAGTCGGTGGAAGAACGCATGGATAAAATGTACAGCGACATTAACGATGGCAAGCGGTAGTCTTCATAGAACGGTTTTACGTTAATATTTTTTTATACTTTTTATATGTGATTACAATGTTTTCAATTACAATGTTTTTTCATTGAATCAGTCAAGCGTATTGATATGTTTTTTTTTAACCAATCGCATGCGATCTGGCATCAAACCAGATTACGTTTATATTTGGGAATGTTTATCTATTTATTTATTGCTTAGATGGGTGGACGAGCTCACAGCCCGCCTGGCGTTAAATGGTTGCTGGAGCCCATAGACATCTACGACGTAAATGCGTCACACACCTTGAGATATAGTTCTAAGGTCTCAGTATAGTCACATCGGCTGCCTCACCCTTCAAACCGAAACGCATTACCGCTTCACGGCAGAAATAGGCGGGAAATATTACACAACATACACATAAGCTTATAGGTAATTTCTGCACGATAGGATTCGATTTTAATCTTTGTTACTGATATTTGAGTGTGCCTGCTCTCCGGAATGCTCAGAGTAATTGTTTAAGATGAACCCGTCATCTCGTTTTTACCATCGCACCGCCCGCCACCGGAGTAGAGTTCATCCATACTACCTACCACCACAGTGCGTTTCCAGTGATCATTTTTGCCATGTACCATCCGGCTTTGGAATGAGCTCCCCTCCACGGTGTTTCCCGAGCGCTATGACATGTCCTTCTTCAAACGAGACTTGTGGAGAGTATTGAACGGTAGACAGCGTCCATGGGCTACGGTAACCTCTCACCATCAGGTGGGCTGTATGCTCGTCTATCTACAAAGGCAATTTAAAAAAAAAACTATTCTTGTATCATGTATCTGAGTCAGGTGAGTATTTAAAAAAAAGAAAAATTGCGGTATAAAAGTCGCGACCAACATAATGATAGATGAAAACTTGCGACCACTTCTTCAGGCGAAGTGTCTGAAGAGTCGCATGTAACGAAACCGGCAATACCGATCCTACTAAATAAGACGTTCATTAGTCAACAGTGAATTTATTGATAAAATAAAATTAATTACTAAGTAAATATTAGATTAATGTCCGACTACACTGGTCCCGCTTGAAGATTGTATTTATTTGGTAATTTAACATCTTTATCTTTTTCGTCGAATATTTCTTCCGTGTCGTCGTCATCAAAATCATCAATGTCTAAAGTATTTCTGGAAAAAAAAAGAAGAAATCAATGTTTTTTTCAATTTTTTCTTTATGGCATTAGTTTTAACTTTATGTTCGAAAGTTTCGAAATCACTGTTCATATTGTATGAAAGAAGTCGTTTTGAATTAAGAATTCATTTTCGTTTTTTTTTTTTTTTTCTGGTAAACTCAACCATCGAGGAAATAAAAAATTAGGATGCCATACTAAACCGTGATTTAAATAAAACGGGCATGAAATTAAATCGCAAAGCTATTTTAAAATTATTAGGTTTTTTATCATCAGGCTTTTGACCTCTGAATCGTGAAGATATAATCTTTTGTACGACATGTTACATAGGCATTTTGCATTAAAAATTACTTTAATTAATTATTTAATTTAGTTTAATATATTTTATAATTATTTTAATTTTAATTATAAACATTCCTCAAAAGTATCATAGGTACCATTTGAAAAAAGTTTCACGCAAATCTAAAACCATGAAGGTTCTATGTCAATTTCATACTTTATTAACCCCTATTACTAATCTAAACTACTTAATAAATAAATATAATAAAAAACTCACTTATTCCAGTCCATTTTGTGCCGTTTCCTGAAACAAAGTTTTATGTAACTTAATTTATGCAACTTCCTTAAATAATGGTCATTATAATAGTAATTTTATATTATAACCCATGTATTTATTACATAATGGAAAGGCATCGTTCTGGTCGACGTTATTTGAAATGTAATTTATTATTGAATGAAACAAAAAACCCGTCTGCCTTTGAACTAACATAAACCAAACTCAATAATATCCCTCTCATCTACTATAATATAAATGTTAACTTGAATGTTAATAAAAGTTCTGGCCGGATCTTGTCAGTGGGTCGCGTTTCCGATCCGGCGGTAGATTCTGCGAAGTACTGCTCTTGCTAGCAAGTGTCGCTAACGCTGGCTCTAGACACTTGCGGTTTGAGCCCCGAGAGCTCACCTACACGCTAAGGTGAAGCTGAAATAGCCTCTCAAGACTAACAGTATAGGTAGAGAAAAAAATACCTAAAATCTTATCCTATTGAAATTAACCTTTTTTAAAAAGTAATTATGGGCATTCATTAACTGAATTATCAGCTTAGTCGAGTAGTTCATGGCCCATCTAATGTTAAGTGTCAATGACGTCGACTAACTTGAATCTTTATGGAATGGAGCAGAAATAGCATGAACCCAAATGCAATCTATCTAATCTGGGAACATTAACCATTGTCACTTTTTTTTCCTACCTATTCGCTGGTAACCTAAGGTCTATTCCAGCTACACCCGGATGGGTTAGACGCTTTCATTAATATGTTAGCCTTTTGAAACGTGGTGGCCCCGCAGTAGTCGAGATTCGACTATAATTAATTGAAATTATAAGTTTAAGCATTAATATGATTTTATTGTCGAACACTATTATATTTCGATAATATAATCACAGTAGTCTCCAAAACTGCACTTTAAATCAATAATATTAAATACCAACAATATTAATCTAATTTCAATTCGACCACAGAATTTAAACAATAACAAAAGTTTCCCAATCGACAGTAAACAAAGAGTACATTTTTATGTAGGTGTTGTGTCAAATACATGGTAGTGTGTGTAATGTTTTCTTTATTGATTTAAAGTATCTATTATGCATTATTTAAAAAAAAAATTGCATTGTGCACTCCTTCTCTATATTCTCTATAAGTGAGAGAAATTTCATACTCCTCCGTCCGAGCAATTTTCGTAAAAAGGGGTGCAAAGTTTTTGCTTCACGTAGTATATAGATAGTAGTATATAGATTTTGTTTCAACATCGTCGAGCCGTTGATGTGCTTAACATATTTACCGATTAGTAGCAATATAGTCTTGATCCATGTATTCCTCTGAGACTTCCACAGAGAGGGGCTGTCCCCTGTGATCTTGCAAGATACCGAAGTACCGCGGTGCTCGAGTCACAGAAAATAATAGTCCTGGAAATTTGTTAGCACATTTTGAGCTTGTTTTTTATGTTAGGTACATTAGCTACAGAAGCATAATAACATATTTCATATCTTATACCTTTAAATGAGCAATTCTTGTATATTAATATATATGTATATAATCTGAATCTCGGAAACGGCTCCAACGATTTTCATAAAATTTAGTATACAGGGGATTTCAGGGGCGATAAATCGATCTAGCTACGATTTATTTTCAGAAAATGTATTATTCGTGTAAATAAAATAAAAAAAGAATGATGAAAAGCGATTGCATACAGCAGAGATGCGAATGTTGCGATGGATGTGTGGAGTAACGAGAATGGATAGAATGAATATGTTAGAGGAAGTCTGAAAGTGGCACCTGTGACAGAGAAGCTGAGGAGTGCGCGTTTGGGATGGTATGGACATGTGATGAGACGAAATGAAAATGAGGTTGTTAAAAGGAGTGCTAACTATGAATGTGGAAGGATATAGAGGAAAAGGTAGACCTAAGAAGAAATGGATGGATTGTGTGAAAGACGACATGGGTAAGAGGGGAGTGAGCGAAGAAATGGTATATGATAGAAAAGTATGGAAGGAGAAAACATGTTGCGCCGACCCCAGGTGACTGGGAGAAGGGCAGGATAATGATGATGATGTTGTTTTATTCGTGTTTTCAATAATCAACTCTTCCCGACATCTCTTGGCGAATAATAATACTATTTTTCTTAATTGAGGGCAACTAACCGCTTTAAAGACACAAAAAGATGGCGTTATCAAAAAAAAAACCGAGCTAAGCTCTAGTAGCATAGTAGCATCTAGTAATTCTTAAGTGAGTACAAAAAATAAAATCATACTATCACTTTCGTTATTAGGGATGAGTTAAGATATAACTATGAACTGATTAATTACCTAAAACAAAACACATTTCACATCAAAATTCAAATTCGTTCAAGAGTTAAGGCGACGACCGACTAACAACTTGTAATGTTTTTGGAGGGAAAAACAGATGTCCATTTGTTATTTTTCACAATAGAACCCTTGAATGGAAATTACTAAGCGAATTATTGAATAACTACTACGCTGTTTGAATTCAAACCGCCTTCATTTTATTTTCTTTAGTGTTTCAAAACATTTTTTTCATCTTTTTATTAACCTCTTCGGGCCAGAGAACATTTTTCTACTGGTGGTAGGACCTCTTGTGAGTCCGCACGGGTAGGTACCACAACCCTGCTTATATCTGCCGTGAAGCAGTAATGTGTTTCGGTTTGTATACTGAGACCTTAGAACTTATACCTCAAGGTGGGCGGTGACATTTACCTTGTAGATGTCTATGGGCTCTGGTAACCACTTAGCACCAGGTGGGCTGTGAGCTTGTCCAACCACTTTTTTTTTTTTGGTCATGATGAAATCGCCAGACTTCCGCCCTCCACTGGGGATGGAGGGCGGAGCATGTCAGAGTCGAACTGACTAAAACCTCCTGTCGCTCAACAACCAACGTCCAAACTTCGCATGAGACAGAACTCATGAAGAGGCAAAGGCGGGAAAGTGAAGCGTTTAGTGCGGAGCACATCTCTCCCATCACCCTCCCCCTCGGGACGCCGGACTGGCGGTCGTCGGCGCCACGACCACCAGCCCTGTCGGTCGGCAGGCTATCCGAAGCCCGCTTAGATGGCGCCGGTTAGAGTGAGCTATCCTACGGAATACCCCGCTGGACCAGAACCAGCGTGGGTCGAGGATAGCCGGCCTTCCATAACCGGGATGCTCTTGCGTAAAACGCGTGCAGAGCAGCTTGCACGTCGTCTTCTTAGGCCCCCCTCGCCGGTCCCCAGACCGACATGTGAGGGGGGCCCGAAACACTTAGAGGGCCAGGGCTTGGGCGAGATCCGCCTCCCTGGCCCCCGCTCGACGGCGGCGGGATTGTGCGTCTCTCACGCGCCCCGCGGCCTCCTTCTGCGAGATGGTGCACTCGCAGAAGTCGAGCATCGCCTTCCACGACTTGTCGTCGCCGAACATCGATGCCACAACACTCGGCAACGACAAGTCGTTTTCTATTTTTGCTCCTCCTACTCACAATGCCAAGGACAACATTTACGACAATGTACCAATACATATACATATATTATGTTTGTATGTAAACGTGTTATAGTGAAAAATAAAATAACAAATATCTTTAGAAACGTACCATCATCGACCGCGCAAATGCTTCTAAAACTTAAAAACAATATCAAAACAATCAACAAAGTTAATTTAACTTCACTCATTTCTAAAACTTATACTTAATAAGAATTATAAAAAGAGAACCAGTTGATTAGAACACGAATTAAAATTCTATTGGATTTTCCTGATGATTTTATGAAAATGCTAATTCGTAAATCATTATACAGGTTGGACGTGAATTGAAAATTGTAATTAGAATCATTAAATGCTTTTTGTAAACTTTCCAGACTTCGTGCAACAACTTCCTTCGGCGGGCTTATTTGCAAAACATGGGTTTGTTTGCAAAAAGCATGTATTGTTCATATTAATGGAGATTATTATTGTGTTTTATAGTAACACGTGATTAATGAGTTTAGATTTAACTAAACATTAATTTAAAACCGTAAATAAATTGATGCAGCTACAGCCATTAAGAATGTTCAAGCATTATGTCACTTTCGCTCACTCTATCTCTCTTAAAAAAAATTTTTTGTGATTTCAAAATAACTATACAATCACAACCTTTAAATTGTTGAAGGGTCATCAAAATTATACTCAATCAGAAAACGCGTAAAGAAAAAAAAATTGAGAGTTTGCCAAAATATTTGGGCAGATCGGTCCAAATGAAACAATTAGTTTAGTTGAGAAGGCGTTTACATAAACGCCTGGAGAGCCTAATGCTCAACAACTTGTAAAAGAAATAAACTAGGTAAAATGATGAGGTCAGAGAATAAACCATATTTTAAATAAAATAGGTGATTAAGTACGCTCATTGAACTATTTACGTTTCCTTTTAGATGTCATACGTACCAATACGTAGGTACAAGTACGTCATTATGTACCTATTGTAAATACACGTCTTAAGTACGATTTCGCGTGCTTCGAATATTAGGAATATTATATAAGAATTTCATTAAAATTATATTATATTATTATATTATAGTCCTCGAAAATTGCATTTTAAAATATTAGATACTAAGTCATATTTCTTTATTATATTTATAGGCAGGAATTGACATTNAATACGTAGGTACAAGTACGTCATTATGTACCTATTGTAAATACACGTCTTAAGTACGATTTCGCGTGCTTCGAATATTAGGAATATTATATAAGAATTTCATTAAAATTATATTATATTATTATATTATAGTCCTCGAAAATTGCATTTTAAAATATTAGATACTAAGTCATATTTCTTTATTATATTTATAGGCAGGAATTGACATTTGGACACTAGGCAAATTTTGTAATCATAAACTACTATTAGAACTTTTAGTAAGTAGTACTTTTTTTTTCTTTTATTGCCCTTGTAGGCAGACGAGCATACGGCCCACCTGATGGTGAGTGGTTACCGTCGCCCATGGACTTCAGCAATGCCAAGGGCAGAGCCAAGCCGCTGCCTAAAAATGATTATGAAATGAGTATGATTTAAAAGAAATAAAGCCCACTGAGTTTCTCGCCCGATCTTCTGTGTGACGCGATTAATTTCAAATTATTAAAAAATCCCTTCTGCAATTTTTTCCCATACCTTATTTTTGGTAGTCTAGGAGGTTTTTTTTTTATTGCTTAGATGGGTGGACGAGCTCACAGCCCTGGTGTTAAGTGGTTACTGGAGCCCATAGACATTTACAACGTAAATGCGCCACCCACCTTGAGATATATGTTCTAAGGTCTCAAGTATAGTTACAATTATAAGTATAGGTTATTCGAAGTACGTGCGAACGGGTAGGTGAGCTCAGGCTGAAAGAATTTGCTAACTATAACCCTAGTTTCTTAATCTCACTGGCACTACTGCGAGGAAATCACTCGCCCTAATAATAACCGGATAATAATAGCCGGATTCGGTAATAACCGGATCTTTTCAAACGATTTTAAGATTTAAGTACACAGGAAATAATCTAATTAAATAAAATTATTCTGTCCGTGTGTAGGGGAACTCCTAAGCGGCCGGACCGAATTTGATGATTTTTTTTTGTGTGTCTTCCAGTGAGTTCGTTATTGATTTAGATTCACAATGCGGTACTGTAATAAGGTTTTTTTAATCAAAATTTCTTCAAGACGGTTTAGATTGTTATAAAAAAGTTCTTATTAAAAAAAGTTGTAATTTTCAGATATAAGACGTGTTTACGTACAGGTTAAGGTCTGTCGGGACCACTAGCTATTATTATAATATTGTTCTAAATGTTGTAACAGTTATATACAATAATTTCGCCTTTTTTTTTTCTTTGATATTTTTATTAATCATCACCAATGCGGCTTACGTTCTGGAATTTACTAACAAATAATTAATCTCTGCCAATGTCTCAAAGTTTAACAAAAAAATACAAACAATTTATTCAATTCATTTAATTTTTAACATCTTTAGTAGAACAAGTTTCCTTCGCCACCCCACAGTCTTCTGCCACCATATCCGATCAGATCCTGCCTCAAAGAGTTGTACTTCTTAAAGAACAACTTCTTCAGAATGCGCTTACGACGTTTATCTTCTTTCAAGCAGGACTCCAGCTTGTCCATACACACGTCTTCTCTGAAATTTATGAGCAGATATTTGTTTTCACTTTAATCAGGTGCTAATACGAGTTAAAAAGATTGAGAGTCTGCGATGTTAACCAAATGAAACCACAAATAGAAGTGGCTTTAATTACCAAACTGCCATGAGATTTGACGAGTCATAAACATATTTGAAAAATGTACCACATAACCTCACTTTCATTATTCAGCGTCGGTGAATTTTAAGCGCGAAATCATACCAGTTTTGACATACAAAATATTTTTTAATCGAATTATAAAATCTTACTTGTAATTTTGATCCAGTAACAACTTAATTGGTTCAGTTTTAGTGAACTTATCAGGAAGCCGAGACCCTGGGGGCATTTTCGTTAATTCCTTCATTATACCCATTATAGTATTTTCCAATTGGGCCAATTTAGGTACCATCAGCCTTTTGATAACCTAAAAGGAATGAAAATAAAAACAGTCATGTTTCGAAAGTCAAACATTAATTGTTGTGGCGTGTGTGCATTGTTTACTTATTGTAAGCTAATTTATCAAAGGCGGAACATTAAATATATATTGATAATCTATGATTGAGTGTACGTATAAATTCGCGAGGGAAAAAATTGTGAGATCGCAGTGATATAGTTTAATGTAAAGAGCTTTTTTTTTTAAATAATATTTTTCAGTACAATAGCTACATAATTGGTCGTTGAACTCATAGGTAGTAATTCAAGTCGGGACATTTTTAAAGCATCCAAATTTTTATCGCCATAATTTTACCGTTGAAACGGCCACCCTCATTGGACAATGAATACCGTGATCCACAAGGATCTTGTGTATATTTTGAACGGAGCCGGCAATCCGGCCGATCAAAAAGTAATTTAATTTCTTTTAATCCTGTAAACAAGGCCAAGATTGACACAAGCGTTGACATTCATCTTGAAAATGCAGAAAAGAATCTTAGCGCCATAAATTTGACAGTGACTGTTTAAGTGTCACTTCAGCACTAGATCCATTAGATCAGAGTCTTTAGACATCATAACGCGAATAGCGGTACACACCTTTCCACATTTGTTTCCAGTTTTGCACGGGGTTCGAAATCTCCTGCCTAGATCCATGGTAGGCAAATTCTGAATTTGTGTGATTATGTTCGAAAATGTACCAGTTGCGGTATTCTGAGCTGAAAATATTTTCAAAGGCTACAATTTTACATTTAATTATATATTAAAAATACCTTCAAAATTGACGTTCTTTTATTTTTTACTGCGCTTTATTCTAATATTATTTAATTTATCATTTTAATTATTTTAACTTTTCATAACTTCGTAACTATTGAATGAATGAAAGTTTGGTACCGTGTATTGAATAGTAGTCAGTTTTCGACTTTGAGAAAGCTTGCAATACATACTGTATAATAAGTACAACTAATTATAATCTGAAAACTTGGGATTATTCATATTCGACCTTATGACAAATAAATTATAATTTATGGTTTGTAACAATTCCGTAAAAGGAAATGGAGTAAATGTACTAATACAATAGAAAAAACAAACTTACCCATTTTACTTTTTTTCGACTTACTACCCCTACCGTTGTCTGGTTTAGTATATTCATCGGAATTCTTACTACTGTTAACTAAAACTAACATATAAAACAGAAAGATACCTAAATAAGCAACTCGTTGCAAAAGCATTGTGGTAAAAACGTCGACTGATTGCAACGTTTTAATTCAGAAGGAAACAGTATTTTTGGCTANAACAAACTTACCCATTTTACTTTTTTTCGACTTACTACCCCTACCGTTGTCTGGTTTAGTATATTCATCGGAATTCTTACTACTGTTAACTAAAACTAACATATAAAACAGAAAGATACCTAAATAAGCAACTCGTTGCAAAAGCATTGTGGTAAAAACGTCGACTGATTGCAACGTTTTAATTCAGAAGGAAACAGTATTTTTGGCTATCAATATGTTTGCCAAACATTACGAGCGGAAATGCATTGGTTTCGATCGAACAATGATTGTAATTCTTATTAAAGATTGTTTACAAATTATGCAACAATACAATTTATCGATACCTTTCTTTTTCTAACGCTTTTGTTGTAAGCTATGCTGGATTTAACTTAAAATTCAAGCAATTACCGCAAGAATTAACAATGTGTGAATATTTTGTCAGTTCGTAAGATATAACTGATTTTATAAATTATTAAGTTCAGCCTGGACGCATATTACATATCCGTATCAATCCCACAAGTTTATCTTTCAACCTAAACATTATGAGAGGAAGATCTGCCCGTTATTTATATATATAAAAATGAATTGCTGTTCGTTAGTCTCGCTAAAACTCGAGAACGGCTGGACCGATTTGGTTAATTTTGGACTTGAATTAGTTGTGGAAGTCCAGAGAAGGTTTAAAAGGTAGATAAATATGAAAATGCTCGGAATATATAAAAATAGCAATTTGATTTATCCTTTGATGTGTCCCCCGTCGGACGGATTCCTTTTGTTTGTTTAAATTTATTTTATACAAAAGTTTAGGTCTTTTATTTATCGATTGAGGCACTACGAAGTCTGCCGGGTCAGCTAGTATTAAATAAGTTAGCAAAGTACAATACAAAATGTATATTTAAAGTACCCCGAACTTTCATACATATATTACATGTATATTATTAATTAATTTAAGAATAAAAAATATTTTTAGCAGTAACTATATATTAAGTGTATAATCTATGCTGATTTCGACCAGAAATAGAAAGAGGACCCCGTAGTACAGCAATCAAGGTTTCTCATCATTAAGGTGATATTATGCATCCAAGCTAACAGTCGGATAACCAGATGAATAAAAAAAAACATCACTAGCGTTCTACACCAAAACCAAATCCATACTCGAATGGAGACGATTTATAAATACGTTGTAAGATTTTCTAAGGACACAAATACAGGCAAAAACTTCATTTAATCCCCATTAATCTATACTAATAGATAAATCTACAGCGGTTTTTACGGGTGTTCCGTTATAAATACTGAACCATGCATCCGATAGACTTGAAACTTAGTATCCATGTATCTAACATGTACTTAATGGATAGGCTAATATTTATATGAATGTTGGACTCCCTAATAATAATGACAATAAATAATAATGTTAATTTTAAATGCGCAACGAAGCGGGCGAGTACGGCTCGCTTAATATAATAATGCCATTCAAGCCCATCCAATTAAATCCCAAAACGTTAATGCTTTTTGGCGGAAACGCGATTACTGAAATTATGTGAATCGTTTAATTTTGTTAATTTTCTATTTCTTCGGGCTTAAACGTGTAATAATTTAGTTAAAGTGCATAAGTGTGACATATAAAAAAAAAACATGTGTGCAATTCACACGTGTTAGGAGTGAAACCTTCAAAAATTAAAATACAATTAACCTAAATGTCTAAGTATATTATTATGTAAAATTTTGTCATTAGTAAATAATTGTAAATCATATTTTATATTATGAGGTAGCGCCCTCTGTGAATCGATATTTTAACGTCACGTATAATCCTAAATTGAAATTCACTACAAGAGGTTTCATACGCACGTTAGTATTAAAAAATCTCATAGGTGGCGCTGGATTAAAAATTTTCGACACTTCCGTTGCATACCTGCGTGACGTTACATCTGTAAACATTTTACCCTCATGCGCCTAAAAAAGTTTCACTTCAAAAAATGCGAGGGTTGTGATTTAACGCATTCTTTCAAACAATTCATTGAGGTCTCAATATATTTTTCCCCCTTTTTCTTTTTAGTTTTTACATACGTCATTATATGAAAAGTAATGAAGCGTAACGATATAAATTTAATTTGAAAATATATCCTAGTAAAACTGATTGATAGAAAATTGAATGAAGTTTTTCAAAATATCCGAAAGCCCATATTAAGCGAGTTTAGTTTTATTTACCCACAATTGTGCAATTGTGTTAAATACATGCCAAATAGTTAATAACCCTACATTATTAAGATTTTGAACTGGAAGAAACACTAAATTTATAAAATATAACAATTCACACACCTTCGCTTCTCGTACAACCGTCATTAAATAAAAATAATATTAATATTAATAATGGTTGGTTCGAAGTACATATCAGTTGAATGGAATATTTAAAATTTATTCAACTGATAATTATTTTTAATATATGTGTCTTTTTTATTTGATTGGTGTTGGTAATTTTAAGAATGTTTCAATGATACTATGTATTACTATGTAACTACACATATATATGGACTTGTTTGTCTGAAATCAAATAAATCATTCATTCATTAAATCCTACCATCCTTTTACAACATATTAATTATATTGTCTGTGCCTTTAGATGTCATTTTGTCAGATAAAAAGGGCGGGAACGTCAAAATAAATAGGCGCTTTTTTCAAGTTAATTTTAATTTATTTGGTTTTAGCCCTTTTTTACGACATTGTCTCTTAATTTTTCACTGTGTTAGAGTTTAAAATTATATTCCATAAGTGTGTTCCGTATTAATGGACGATGACGACAGGGGTGAGGGCTTCAGCTCCGCCCCTGTGTCCGCTCCCAAAATAATGGGAAAACGAAGATTGACCTCATCTGAATACGACGAAAGCCGCAAAATAAAAATGACTTTAATTAAAAATAAGCGCGGTCTTTTTAAAGACCACCATGCTCTTTATGAAGACCTTACAAAAAAAGAATACCCAGTGCTTCTTCAGTCAAGCCTCTCGCAACCAAATAACAGAGTCCCAATGGATCTGTTAAGAATAAACAAATCTTTAAAAAATGTTCAAGGGGTACAGTATGTCAAAGCTGCTGGAAACTTTTTTGCTANTGCCTTTAGATGTCATTTTGTCATTTCATGATGAAATTTTCATTTAAATTTAATTTATTTGATAGTTTTCGCTTAAACGCGCCTAATATTTAAAGTGTTCGTATAAGGCATGACTTTCGGTATCTTATTTCAAAACACTTCCGCATATGGACCACACTCGCTTTTCCTATCAAATAAATCAATAAAAAAAGCGTCAAAAAAAATATGACATTAAACATTTGATCATTTCTACTACAAAATTTGGCTTCGTTTTTCAAGAGAAGCTTATCCTTCGTTCACAAATGGACAAAACAGACAAAAAATGTAAGAAGAATGGTCTAACAAAACCTATCACAACCCTAGAATTGGCTAAGGATATCACTGCAATCGATTTAAGCAACAAAGGTATCAGTGAATTAACGCATAATATCACGCTCCCGGAGAATTTATATGACTTGGATTTGTCGAACAATAATCTTAAAGAGGTTCCCAGTGAAGTCTTAAAACTTACAAAATTAAAAACATTTAACGTCTCCCATAACAGTATAACTTACTTTGACGACGCTCCCGATTTCTGCAACACTATCGAACAGCTGAACATATCTAACAATGCACTGGAGGGCCCGCCGTATTGGATCTGGTCGAACACCCCTCAAAAATTAAGAAACCTTAATCTCAGTAATAATCCGAATATAACGAAATCATTAAAAAAAGAATATTTAGAAGAGTTAATGCAGTACTCAACTTTAGTCACTGATGTAGATGTAAGTAACTGTAGAATAGGAGAGAACATACAAATTCTAACATTATTTAAAAACACAAAAACTCTAAATGCTGGTATTTTGGATTTCACTTATAGGAATAAAAATAATTTAATAGAACTACCCAATTTAGTCTTGGATAAATATATTAATTTACAAAAATTGAATGTTTGCAATACAAACATATTTACGATCAACTCAAACATAGATATTCACAAGAATTTAATTGAAATTGACCTCTCACTAAACAACATAACAGGCTTACCAAAAGAATTTTGCAATCTATATAATCTGGAAGTATGTATATTATCATGTAATAAAATTTTATATTTGCCTGAGGAATTTTACAAATTAGAAAAACTGAAAGTGCTTCGTTTGGATACGAACAAGCTATGTATGCTTCCGAACTGTACAAACTTGGGCAGCCTTGAATTATTAGATTTGTATGACAATGATATTTATGAGGTACCTGAAGAAATTGAGAACATAGAGAAATTGGATTTGGCACAAAATTATTTTGATGAACCAACTGATGAAATTTATCTCTCCAAAAGGAATAAGTTAAGACTAAATTTGGTGCGAGTTGACGGAAGGTATAATAAATAATATGTACAATTCTTTGAAGATTACTAAAATTACTTTATAGTTTCAATATGTTTAAAATTACTAACAGATAGGAAACAAAAATGCACCTTAATCTGGTTCTTACAGCTTTTGAAAATATGTAGTTTTATTGATATTAATAGATACATTTGAATGTATGGAGATTTTAAAATCTTCAGTTTTTGTATGATGCTGAAACAAATAGACAAACAACCTTTTTATTGTTAAAGTTAGGCAAGTAATGATGATTTGGCATGATTACTGATGGCATATAAGACTAAGTCATAGCATTTAAATTGAAGCTTTTTATTAATATCATCAATAAAGAGAGGTAAGCTATCAATCAATAAGCGTTGATGATGGAACACCAGATTAATATGCCAGAGGTCAATAGTGTTAAATCCAGGTAGGTCATGAGTTCACCTACCCATCTATGATTATAAATAAAAGAGTACCTCTAAACATTTTCTCATAATCCATAAAGATTATTGGAAATATCTTCAATTTACAGACACACTTTTGTTCCACTTTAAAAACTTAAACTAATAAAATATTAAAATAATAAAATGAATAAAATATTATATATCTTTCAGAAAAGAAGAAATCACAATTTCTGAAAGTGAAAGTTCTTCATTAAGTGATGCAGAAGAGGACTCGTATCCAATCGATAATTTGGATGAAGGTAAATATTGGAAGAATTAATACTAATATGGAATTTCATGTTTGATTTAGTGTTTTCAAAATGCCTTAAGTAATTTGACTTAAAATTGTATTGTATTGTTTTGCTGAACATATACTAATGCTGAAGAATCCTTACATCCTGATGTAATCTGGTAAAACGAAAAAGAAAAAAAAAAACATGAAAAAGTTCATAGGAACTAGAAATTGTTTTTTTTTTCTTTTTAGTTTTTCGTTTTAAATTTTCTTATCAATGTAGATTGAATTTGATGAGAAATTTTTCCAAGTATACTATGTAATATGGATGGATGATGATTAAATATGTTTCATGCACATAGTATGATGAGGATCCCCTTCAGTAATGTTAGTGAACCCACCCTTAAATAGCTACTAGTAAGGTACATATTAAATTTGGGTATATTAGATATGAATTTAGTATACCCAAATTTAATAAATTAATAAACTACAATGATGTAAAAGTCATTACTATTCTAATGTCTTCATACTAGTCATATTATGTGCAATTATTCTAAGATCATTTGTTACGATTCATAGATGCTGTAAAACAAAACGAACCACCGAGCTCACCAGAAGACTGGGATTCAGATGAGTACTGGATACCAAAGTTCTATAAGTTATCAACTCCCTCAACATCACAATGGCTCTGTTTCATAAAGCAAAAAATGGAAGAAGGAAACTTTTGCCCAATAGATATGCATGTTACATCAGTGATTGACAAGATTAATGAGGAACGCATGTTAAGCCCGAAAGAGGACCATGAATCGGAGGGACAGTTTGATGACTATTCTGATGACAATAGCTGACCGATGAGTACTGGTGTTATCTTAAAAATACAATATGAAAATTATTAAACCATGTTACAAAAAACATTATTATGTTTTAAAATTTATTGATTATGAAAAGAAAAGCATTTAATAAATAAAAAAGAAGAAAAATAGTTTGAAAAACGGTTAATTGAAATAATTGAGTTGGTTTTTCCTTAATCCCAGTATGAATGCACAAGCATTGCAATGTATTAATTCAATGTTATCATGAATCAAAATTATGATCATTATGGTCAGATCTCTTTAAATGATACTACTCTGACAGGAAAGTACCGAAAAGATCAATAATACACAAATGCTTAGTTATTCATCCAAATTTATATCACTATCAAAGTATACTCTTTCAGAACTTACTGGTGGTAGGACCTCTTGTGAGTCCGCATGGATAGGTACCACCACCCTGCCTATTTCTGCCGTGAAGTAGTAATGCGTTTCGGTTTGAAGGGTGGGGCAGCCGTCGTAACTATACTTGAGACCTTAGAACTTATATCTCAAGGTGGGTGGCGCATTTACGTTGTGGATGTCTATGGGTTCCAGTAACCACTTAACACCAGGTGGGCTGTGAGCTCGTCCACCCATTTAAGCAAAAAAATATATATATATGGGCTTGAAAAAGTGTCCCACGTTCAGCGCTAATATACATATCATACAATCTCAGTATACATAGTTACAACGGTTGCCCCGCCCTTTAAGCCGAAATGCATTACTGCTTCACGGCAGAAATGAGTGGGGTGGTGGTACCTATCCGTGCGGACTCACAAGAGCTCCTACCACCAGTAAAGACCACCACCATATGAGACGGTTCTCTTTACCTCTACCCTCCATAGTAGTAGGTAGGTAGTTAGGGACCTACATTTAAAGAATTAGTGTCTTATTAGATGCACTTAATGTTACTGGACCAAAACATGGCATAGGTAGCACATTTAAAATACATGAATAATTATCAATATAAATGCACGATAGTTAATTAGTATTGTATTACAAACATTAGTTTAAAGTCATTTATTTTAATTAGTCCATTTTAGTTTTAATTAACAACATTAATTCTAACAATAAATAGTAAATCTGTTAAATTTTACTGCTCTACAATTTTTTTTTTCTATTGAATCATATGGAAAAATTCAATCTTATTAAGAGCCAAATTGCCATGGCACTTATAGCTAGCTTTATTCTCTAAAATTGATCATAGAGCATATTCAAACAGATTAAAATCAGGACTAGATATAGCCAGTCTTCAACTCTGATGATGTCAGAAAAGTTTATAACACTTGCAAGGAGTGAGCCTTATGACCTTTCTGCTGAAAGAACTGTTTTTAGGTATGGATCATGATCTGTTAAGATAGTTAATTACTGTCTAAAGAATTATATCTTGATACATCTGAATTGATGTGTAAGTTACTTTTGATTACTCCCATCTCACCAAATCATCATACATGCCCACATTGTATTCTAGACAAATTAAGAAGCCTCAAGAGCATAAACTTAATCTTTCTGCTAATTGAAATTTTGCTCTAAACTTTTCTCATCCTTAAATTAAAAAATCTTTGAGCTCTCTTAGCACACTGCCTAAGAATTTGTTGCAATTTCACCACTGCTATTTAATTTTAAAATATTCATATAATTGTTACATTATATCATGCAACTGAATAAAGTTAAATCAAACTCAAAACAGATTTCATTTCGTTTATAACTTCTTCATGTAGTTTATTTCTATTCTTTTTTGTAATCTGAAAATAAAATAAATATATTATGTAATCATAATTTGTTAAAATGAAATATTTCATAATTAAACATTCAGTTTTATTTTCATTCATTTGATTAAAATTGAATTTTCATTTAAGTATGAACACTTGTGATTAAATTTTCTACANACTCAAAACAGATTTCATTTCGTTTATAACTTCTTCATGTAGTTTATTTCTATTCTTTTTTGTAATCTGAAAATAAAATAAATATATTATGTAATCATAATTTGTTAAAATGAAATATTTCATAATTAAACATTCAGTTTTATTTTCATTCATTTGATTAAAATTGAATTTTCATTTAAGTATGAACACTTGTGATTAAATTTTCTACATTGTTCATTTTTTATGTTAAAATCTTATCTACCTTAAATTATCTACCTACTTTAAAATCTCTTTTAAAATTACTATTAAAAATTAAAATAAACAGTAAACAGTATTAATTAATTATACAAAACTGAGCACTTTTTTACTGAATAACAGACTTCACTCCATGGCACTGAAAGACACTGAAGAAAAATCCTTTTTAAAAACTGAAGAGTTAAAACAAAAATTGTTTTTGTTGTTGCATATATATAACTATACAATAAAGTGTGTCTATAGATCAAAGTTAGACAAGTAAAAGGACGTCAATACAGAAAGTGTCATATTTGGGGTGTCTTTACCACTGGTAAAATTTGTATTCAGTTATACATACCACCCAAACTTTAGCTTTAGGATGACTTCTAATGTTCTCCACAAGAGCAGACCTGTTTTTAACAGGTATGGTTGCCAACACAACATTGTAAGAATTTTGCTCAGAACTAAAAATATTTTCGATTACATTTTTAAACTTTTTACTAGATAATTCCATGCTTCCAATTTCATCTATTACTAGTAAGTTTGGTTGTGATGTTGTCTGAAAAGAAAAAGTATGATAATGTTCAATAATTGTTTTAAGAAGACCAGCCTAATTGTGAGATATAAGGCCCATTCAAGCAATAAACGAAAGCTACAAACTTTAGAAGTATTTTTCCAATGATGTCAACTGCAATACACTGACATAATTTTTCGTTCTCCATTCTTGATATAGGTAATTAATGGTCTACATTTTTTACAAAAATTCCATGCATGTAGTGTAATACAGTGTGAAATCTTATTTCATTGGTGAAAAACATTTTAAATATGTATTACTAATCGTTTTTAAGCATTTCGCCACTATTAGTGACTATAGTTAACCTGATAATAGTTAACCCACAAAACGCCGCCTGTACTTATAAGTACCGGCTGAAAAACAACGACAATAAACGATGAGTTAGCTTACTTTCCACCGTTTCCTACGAAATACTTTGGAGCGAAGACGACCTTAGCAAAAGGTTAAAAAAGTATAAATGATCACGGAGTTGATTGAATTGAATATCATGAAAATACTAGTGATTTCACATTTCACGGAACTCACCTCGTTTAAACATGGCAATGCAATATTTTCAAACTCTTCAATAAAAACCCCGTATTTACCAATTTTGCGCTTAATAGGGATAGTGATGAGATCTTGGTCCCTAGCCAAACGGCCCCTGACTCCTGCACTAGTAACCACATCGAAGCCTTCTCTTACTCCTTTATTTCTGACTTCTTCAGTAATAAAACCATTAACTTTTACACCTTCTGCTTCTAAGAGCGAAGATATTTTCTTAGTCAGAGTAGTTTTACCGATGCCTGTAAAAATTTTCGTTCAAAGCAATACCTACAACTGAACAAGTAAAATCAATTGTAAATAGTGAAAGTTGATAGATAAGCTAACCAGGATCGCCTGTTAATATAAAAAACCTTATTGTTGTATTAGGATTTTTAGCCATTTTTGTAATACGAATAGTGTACTTATTATCTATCGTAATACTATCCTTAAATATTAAAATACTCAATCAGTATTTACAGTTTACAGGACCTATAGTAGGTACCGTACCTACCAATAGAAAACGCGAAGGTTACACACCATACAGCCTAATCTTTTATTTGTTCTGTTTGATGAAAAAATGTATGAAACGAAATGAAATAAAGTTGATTAATTAGACACATTAATCCATTTCCCCATATTTGTGCACTTCCAGAGACTTTAGCTTAATTACAAGAAAATTTTTATAAGATTACATTTTGTCAATTTTTTTTTCTACTACCTTTTTGACTCTCTACATTTCGTAGTTAATATTTCTTTATTTCTGCAACTGAATTGAATTTGTTATTTAATATTAATTCTGGAACTCAACTTCCATATCTACTGTAGTTCTAATGATCGACTCCTGATTTAGCTTTACATTTCAAATGTCCAAATTCTGATCTTAACATATTGTGAAACGCATTTCTGAACAAGAAATAAAATTCAAATACTTTTGGAGGAGACTTTTTCTATTTAATATTATTATTTATATAGCTGACGTCCCATTAGAGTTTTCTCCTTCCATAGCATAGAAAATATATTATTGATATACCAAGTAGCTCCATAGCTTGACTATGATGCTTAGAACCTCAAAACCAATTGTCCGGTATTAAAGAACCGGCTACCAAAATAATTCAGCGTAGATCTCCGTTAACAGAGTAGGCAGGCCCTTTTTATCTCTCTTCAACGTCTACCTTTATACCTACCAAATAACTAATTAACTAATCTATGGTTATCACTTCGCTTCGCAACAAGTTGTAGTTATCTTTTATCGCACCGGCGTATGTATCAAAGTTCACGAGTGTCATACTCGCCGGTGCCTTTGTCCTTATCATTAGTATTGCATAAATCCTAGTACTTGGTGGTTCATATTTCTTAAAATGGCTTCTGTCGCTACTGTAACTCGTGCTTTGCTGGGAAAGAATGTACTGAACAAGTGCAAAGTGGTATCCGCAACAAGCCAAGCATCCATAAAGTTTTATAGCACAGGTAACTCGGCACGGCTTGCATTTAGCAGTTGCGTTAAATACAACATATATCTAGTATGAATTTGGAACTTGTAAGTCTTTTGCGTACTACGAATCATAGTACCAAAGGTCCTTCACAAATATCAAAGTAAATTTATTTACATGAACTTTAATAATATTATATAACATGTGCCAAAGCTAAAATATTCCATAAAATATTTATTTTAACCAGAAACTCGCGACCACCTCGCCAGGACCCATGTCCCTGGTAGGTAGGTAGGTATCGGTACCTTTATTATGTATTATTACCTACAAACGAACACAGATGAAAGTTCAAAAACGATAATACAAGAAAGTTTTGTGAAAAAAATTGTTTTTTAACCCTGCAGATGGGCAGATGATGTGCAATTTCATTCCTTTATCATGAAATTGTACTAACATGATCTGTGCTACAAACACTGTTACACAATTAAAATGTTCCATGGGAAGTGTTGTGACCAATTATTGGTGATGATCCCATTATCTTAACCATGTTTTTAACATCGCACTAGCCGCCACCGGAATAGAGTTCATCCATACTACCTACAAACAATGCATTCATCTATAGTCCTGTGCCTTCAAAGATCTTTTTTGCCATGCACCATTTGGCTTTGGAATGAGCTGCTTCTACAGTGCTTCCTGACCATTATGACATGTTCTTATTTAAACTAGGCCTGTGGAGAGTATATAACGGTAGCCAGTGACTTGGCTCTGCCCCTTTCATTACTAACGTCCATGGGCGACGGTAACCACTTACCATCAATTGAGCTGTACACGTCTGCCCATAAGGGCAATAAAAAAAGTTTAACCATGTTCTTTTGTTGTGTTATTTTGGCTTGTGTAGTTGTGTAGTATTGTAAGTATGAAGACTGGCTCCAATATTTAAAGTTTTCAAATTTGGAATGTAATTAAAGATTCAATAGTATAATTTATTTATTAAATCTAAGACCTCTTTATTATGAATCTAAATTCTTTTTAACATATTTTTTTCTTTGAATCAGTTAATTGAATTTAATGTCATCTAAATTTTTAAGCTTAATATTCTCTTTAAGAGAGACTTGTATTTTAAAGGTAAAAATACTTAGTGTGAGCAAACAAGTAGAGCTTAAATCACACAAACATATGACAAAAATGGCATGTTGCAAATCTGTGACGTTAAAAGAAATAATGTGGTTAATTCTAATATAATATTAATATTGCCATGTGCAATACTCAGAGATGTGAACATACATAATGAATATAACTTGTTGTTTAACAGCATCATACGAGAACATCAAGGTTGAGGTGGTCGGCTCCAAGAAGAATGTCGGACTCATTCAGTTAAACCGCCCGAAGGCACTGAATGCTCTATGCAAACCATTGTTTGTCGAACTCGGGAAGGCAGTCAATGATTTTGACGCCGACAGCAACATTGCTGCCATCATCATCACTGGTAATTCAAATAAACATCAACACTTAGATAAATTTTCCAGAACTTATGTTATGCATTCTGTAGGAATCAGTCGTGAACACCCTTTACTTAATTTTTGCATAGAATGTTTAGTATCTATCTACCTGCAGGATATGATTTTTTAATTTTAATTTTTTATTTCGTAGATGGGTGAACGAGCTCACAGCCCACCTGGTGTTAAGTAGTTACTGAAGCCCATAGACATCTTCAACGCAAATGCGTCACCCACCTTGAGATATAAGTTCTAAGGTCTCAGTATAGTTACAACGGCTACCCCACCCTTCAAACTGAAACGCATTACTGCTTCACGGCAGAAATAGGTGGGGTGGTGGTACCGACCCGTCCGGACTCACAAGAGGTCCTACCACCAGTGATTACGCAAACTATAATTTTGCGGGTTTGATTTTTATTACACGATGTTATTCCTTCACCATGGAAGTCAAACGTGAACATTTGTCTAGTACATATTTCATTAGAAAAATTGGTACCTGCCTGCGGGATTCGAACATCGGTGCATTGCTACATAGAACATAGAATGCACTGGACGTCTTATCCTTTAGGCCACGACGACTTCATAGTCATAGTCTTATACCAAGGTACCTGTACCAAATTGGTACAAATGCACCAGGCATCTCAACCATTAGACAATGACTATCGTTTTAGTTAAAAAACAAATCACATTTATGTGTTAGCAAATTAATAAACCGCATCTTGAAGGAAGATCTGAAATATTATTATTGGCATATATTAGTAATGTCAACAGTAAGAGCTAAGGCTATTTAAAACTTTGCTGGTATAAACTTATACTGCGAAGTCACTCAAATAATAGCATTCGAAACACGTAAACTGCATTTTGACTATTTAAATGACAGGTAACGAGAAGGCGTTTGCGGCTGGTGCTGATATTAAGGAGATGCAAAACAATACATACAGCAGCAACACAAAACAGGGCTTCCTTCGCGAATGGGAGGACATCTCCAACTGTGGGAAGCCCATCATTGCCGCTGTTAATGGTTTCGCTGTATGTTGCATTTCATTATAATGTTAATTTATGAAGTTATTCTTGCTGTTGACCAGTAATGGGCTTAAAGATTTTCAAAAGGACACGAAAAGAACAGAACCATTCTTAGTGGATATATAGTATAATGTTAGTAAAATTGAACCTGCCTATTTCTGCCGCGAAGCAGTTATGCGTTTCGGTTTAAAGGGCGGGGCACCCGTTGTAACTATACTGAGACCTTAGAACTTATATCTCAAGATGGGTGGCGCATTTACGTTGTAGATGTGTATGGGCTCCAGTAACCACTTAACACCAGGCATGCTGTGAGCTCGCCCTCACGTCTAAGCAATAAAAAAAAGATGTTTCAAGTAAATTAGATAACCGGTCTAGTTTGATCTATCTACCAAACATCTATCTAGCTCACAAACGTCTACAGTTGGACTTATGTGTTACTCACCACAATAACTGGTTTTGCTATTCCCGAATACAGCTAGTTTCATAGTATATAGTAATTTTAAATTTCCAAGTTAGTGAAGAAGGACATTTACTAATAGTGGGCAACATTACCTAAGAATAGTCCTATCTGATGTAGTCACCGTAGCCATAGAAATTACAGCATGAATACCATCATCCACCTGAAAAGAGAGGTTGAAGTCTCAATTGCATTACAACTATCCTTCAAACAGGACCCCATAACTGCCGTAGGAATAGACAGGATATTAATACTTACCTGGTACCTGTCTGAACTTCTGATTTTTACAGAAGTCTTAAGTAACATAAGGAGTGTTCTCGATTAGCAGGGTATTAATAGTTATTATTAATAGTTTATTGACATTGTTAACGACAAGAACACACTTTTTTTTTTATTGCTTAGCTGGGTGGACGAGCTCACAGCCCACCTGGTGTTAAGTGGTTACTGGAGCCCATAGACATCTACAATGCGTAAATGTGCCACCCACCTTGGGATTTCAGTTCTAAGGTCTCAAGTATAGTTACAACGGCTGCCCCACCCTTCAAACCGAAACGCATTACTGCTTCACGGCAGAAATAGGCAGGGTGGCGGTTCCCACCCGCGTGAGATCCTACCACCAGTAAACTGTACATAAATGGCCTGTTCATTTTCTGTGCGCGATTGTGATTACATGATAACGTTTTGAGATAAGATGCATTGTTACATCGCATTCATTGTTATTGTAACCTTTACTACCTATATAAATAATTGCCTTGATTTTTATTAAATGATGTTATTTCTAGAATTCATTGTAGAAGTCTTTCATGAACATGTTCTATTATAATTATGAATTTATTAGAAAGAAAATACTCTCCTCCCTACTCCTCATTACACTCCTACAGGATTTGAACATGAGCATAGTCGCAATGCTTAACAAAGCACACTTTCTTATCAGTCTATTACTTACACAACGACGTTATTATTTGTGTTTTACAAAATAAAACATACTTTATTGTATTTTTTTCCCCCTATTTTTAGATGGTAGCTTAGGGTACTATTTCAGCTTCGCCCGGACGGGTAGATGAGCTTACGGGCTAAACTTGAGAGATTTTCTAACACAGGCCCTAGTTAAAGAAGTCCTTCACAGAATCTACCACCGGATCGGAATCGTGACCCACTGAGAAGATCCCGCGAGAAAGTCAGCAAGCACCAACTTGCTAATTTTACTTAAAATCTATATTGTTGATGCCGTTCAGCTTGGAGGTGGTTGTGAGCTGGCAATGCTGTGCGATATCATCTATGCCGGCGAAAAGGCGAAATTCGGTCAGCCCGAGATCAACATTGGCACCATCCCCGGAGCCGGAGGCACCCAGCGTCTTCCCAGATACGTTGGCAAGTCGAAAGCAATGGAGATCGTGTTGACAGGAAACTTCTTTGATGCTCATGAAGCCGAGAAAATGGGTAATATTATTAATTCATTAGTAATATGGTGAGATAGCACAGTGTTACCATTTTTTGAGATGTTATTGGAAGTTTGTACAGTATCATCATCCTCGGCAGCAGCAGCCGCCCACTACCTGCTGCTGCTACAGTTACTGGATATAGGCCTCCGTCAATTTACACCACTGAACCGGTTTTCGTTCCTTCTTATTTATTTCTTGCTAGTCCTGTGCAAGTCATTGCTCCACCTGACTGAGGGACATGTCGTGAATTGAAAGTATACATTATAATAATTACAGATATAACAATGCAATGATAGAATACTAGTGCAAACTAGTAATAAAAACTAAAAGATTTATTATAAAATATAGTTTTCCATTAGTATTTAACATTTATAACAATCATTAGGTATTAAAGTTTTTATTAACCTTTAAATTAAACAACAAAATCTTCATATTCAGGTCTTGTCAGTAAAGTATTCCCAGTGGAAAAACTTTTAGAAGAAACCATCAAGCTGGCTGAAAGGATCGGAACCCACTCCCCGTTAATTGTGAAGTTGGCCAAACAAGCTGTGAACCAAGCTTACGAGACCACCCTCAAATCGGGCTTGCAGTTTGAGAAGTCCACCTTCTATGGAACCTTTGCCACGGTTAGTCTCATATTTATCTTTTACACGCCCAAATCATTAAATGAAAGTAGTGCATACATAACATTTGTAACCATGATTTTACAGTTCTGAACTAAAAGTTCTGGGTCTTCATGTTTACCTTCAGCATAGCTGCTATTTATTACAACATAATCCAATATTTTGATAAAAATAAAAACAGACTACAACAAAATAAAATAAGAATCTTACCGAATCTAATCTAATCGATCTACCCGAAGTAAATTAAATATCCATTATTTGTGATAACTCGGAAACCATTAGTCAGATTTTGATAAAATTTAATCACGAGGACCTCATGAGAAGTACCAACTTGCAAATTAAAAGTCATCCAAATCGTTTCACTTACAAAAATGTACAGTACAAGTTCTATATTCGCGGGGTATATGTTTTTTTTTCTTTTTTTTAACACGAACCCTAGCAACAGCTGTGTTTCGCAGAATCTACCACCTGATCGGAAACGCGACCCACTGAGACGATCCGGCGAGAAACTCAGTGGGCTGTGTCTGTGGGTTAATTCACTCGTCGAGCCCTTCGTCGCAAGCGACGGATTCGACGAGAACGATGACCGGTGGTTGGGGTACCTAAAAGCACCGTTNTTTTTTTTTCTTTTTTTTAACACGAACCCTAGCAACAGCTGTGTTTCGCAGAATCTACCACCTGATCGGAAACGCGACCCACTGAGACGATCCGGCGAGAAACTCAGTGGGCTGTGTCTGTGGGTTAATTCACTCGTCGAGCCCTTCGTCGCAAGCGACGGATTCGACGAGAACGATGACCGGTGGTTGGGGTACCTAAAAGCACCGTTAATGGATCGGGAGGATCCGTAATGACATGTTTGGGGCGACGTCGACTGCTTTCCATTCGGTCCGCAGGATCGGGAATGCAGTTCCCGGCGGCCACGATGAGAGGGTTCTCGTGTCGTGCCGCTGTCTCGAAAAGGCGTATATGTTCAGTAAATATACCGCGAATACAGAAACCGTGAATATGTAATGGTAATTTACATATATGGGATTATAGTTGATACGTTCTTAGGAGACAAAATAAAAACATACTTTAGGCATAGTTGTAATAAGGACTATTTTACTTTTTTATTAGTTCATTTGACAGCGCGCTTACAAAAGATATTCGGTTGGATACCTACATAGGTATTCGAATCCTTTTTATCAATGTGTATGTACCGATTAGATCGTGAATATATGAATTGATTCGCATACATCATAATTACAGGCGAATTGATAACCTAATTCTTTTTTTGAAATCAGTTAAAATAATGTATATATGTTATATTTATTTTAAATTACATTAATTTTCAGGAGGACCGCAAAGAAGGTATGACAGCATTTGTTGAAAAGAGACCACCGAATTTCAAGAATGAATAAATCTTTCCTTTATTTTCAAGTTTTCTATGTTGTTGAAAATGTTTTGTTATTTGTTAGGCAGTAAGTGAAATTAAGTGGGAAGTATAATATTGTTTATAACTTTTATATATTGACAAATAAAAATCGTGCAAAATCTTTTTATACACTGAAATAAACGAATTTATTTTTAACTAGTCTCCATTTATTTGTAATTCGCCTATTGAATCCAAAATATTGTTTTTAAATCGATACTATACCTAATCAATACGATTTAGCCTTTTTTTTCTTTTTTCTTTTTTTTTATATAACTCAACCCACTCAGTAGAACAGATCTTCCAACGCGCTTGAAGGAGGCACAGTCCCCAAGATACTGGCTACGTTGCCTCGTTGGACAGCCAGACTCACTCTCTGTGCAAAGTACCTGCCAGCCTTAGCATCATGTGTTTGGAGATTTCTGTTAAAAATTTCTTTGCTTCAGGGCCCCAAGGGCCCATCGTCTCAATATGATTTAACTATCTATACTGAGACCATGATGTCCATAGGCTCCAGTAACCACTTAACACCAGGTGGCCTGTGAGCTCGTCCACCCATCTAAACAATAAATAAATAAAAATCGTAGGTTGGAGAAAGAAAAAAAAACCGAAGATTTAGCTTTTTTCGAAAAAGCCATTTAAATCTCTTTAAATTCCAGCCCCTTAAATGAGATGCAATTTCATTTTTTTCTATATCATGAGCGGAGAAGGATATAACTTTGGTCTTTACACGTATAGGCCAATGGTCAGCAACCTTGTCATCCAAAGGGGTCAAATATACGTAATACACAATTGAAACTAATCCACAGTGCCATATTAATACGATTTATTTATTAGCTTCAGACGTGTGTATGTTAATATGTAACGGAATCTTTGGAATCTTTGAATATGATTTTGACCCCCTTCAAAACGTCGGTTTAACTCGAAATTTGGTATACTTATTAAGGACCGATGTCTATTCAATATTAAAAAAAAATCATTTTTTTTTTTTTATTATTAATTAAATTAATTATTATTATTAATTATTAATATTGAATAGAATTAGAATTGATATTGAAAAAAAATTGTTTTTTTTTTTGAAATAATTGAAATTCAACGAAAAAAAGAAAAGAAAATAGGTTAAAAAACTAATAAAATGGGGTGCTTTTCAACATATTATCAAAATAACCCATCTGTTCATAAAATATTTATAACTACTGATACCATGCACCCCACGCTTTTTTTACAATAAAATAATTTTTTCTGACACTATTTTTAATTTAAATTTATTAAGGTTTATTTACTATTTTTTAGTAGGATTTTCAAAAAAAGCGTATTTTTTTAGTTTTTTTATACTATTATTTATTTTTAACATATATTTTTATAGTCTTGCATTCCAAAAATGTTTACTTATCGCTTACAAGACAAGATAATAATAGTAATATTCCCGTGCCTGGGCTAAGTATTTCTGTGAAAGAGCGGTGGCCTAGTAATCAAAGAACAGATGGTTGCCGACCGCTGATGTAAGCGAGTATTCACACAGAAAAAATACGTATTAAAGACAATTGAATACTCTTCTTGAAGTCGAGATCTTAAAAACATACGTGATACTGGTAGTAGGGTGTGCAGTGAGCTTGCATAGGTGTGTACCACTACTCTACCTGTTTTTGCCGTAAAGTAGTATTTTTCGGTTTAAAGGGTAAGGCAGCCGTTGCATTATAAAACTCCGATTTAGAGCTCATGTCTCAAGGTGGGTGGCGCCATTTACGTTGTTGATGCCTATGGGCTCCAGTAACCACTTAACAACAGGTGAGCTGTGAGCTCGTCCGCCCATCTAAGCAATAAAAAAAACCCAATAATAACAAAAAAGTGAGAAAGCCTAAAGAGGGAATTTCGATTTATTATAGAAATCTAATTTCCTGGTAGTTCTACCAATGAATCAAATCGCGTTTAATCTATACTAATATTATAAAGCTGAAGAGTTTGTTTGTTTGAACGCGCTAATCTCAAGAACTACTGGTCCGATTTGAAAAATACTTTCAGTGTTAGATAGCCCATTTATCGAAGAACGCTATAGGCTATATAACGCTAAGACCAATACAAGCGGAGCACCAATAAATAATGTTTCAAAGTCGAGTTTTTTTTTCCTTTTGAGAGCTTCCGCTGCGTGCGCTGCAGAAACGGTTAGTTTCGCTAAAATAATGTATGACGGAATTGTTCCCCTTTAAAAGATCTAAAAAAAAGTCCGCGACAGCATATGTCTATATGTTAAGGTTGGCTCACTATAACGTTTTTTATGCTACCCAAATTTGTTCTAAAATAAAGCATTATTTATGAACTATTCCACGCGGACGAAGTCGTGGGCTAAAGCTAGTATATCGATAAAGGTCAACGAAAGTTTTTGTGGCATCGATGCTTAGGTACCGAGCAAAACAGCATCACTAGTTTGGTCATAGATTATATTTGATTATAGAGCCAGTACATAAATAAACTAAGGGTAAATAAAATACTTCAAACAAGATTCCTTCTTAGTTTCAAGGAACATAAGTTCAGTAAAAAGCGAATACTAACTCGTGGAACAATGGTAGTTATGAAACTTTCATCATGAGTATCTAAATGCAAGAATATAAATTATTTATATCGAATGAGACAAGTGCTTCGTGACAATACAGTTTCCATGTTTTGGGATCATGTTTACCGTAATCGGCATATCATGCAAGAGTTTCAGGACACTGAAGTGCACAAAACTAGTGTCTCGGTGTTCGTAGCGCTGTTTTATCTAGAAATGTTATACATATTGATCATGACTTTATCTATATTACATAGGTTGAATCAAAACATTGCTTCATAATATTTAAAAGGTAACTTTTTTCTACATTTTTTTGTACACAGTAAGCAATATGCAACGCATATAATAAAACCTACAGCCATAATAAACAAGCTAAATTAGACATACAATTAACTCTTCTATTACAAGATTTAAATTTACAATTCAAGTCAGTTTTACTGTAAATACAGGTTTGAACATGCAGTNAGGTTGAATCAAAACATTGCTTCATAATATTTAAAAGGTAACTTTTTTCTACATTTTTTTGTACACAGTAAGCAATATGCAACGCATATAATAAAACCTACAGCCATAATAAACAAGCTAAATTAGACATACAATTAACTCTTCTATTACAAGATTTAAATTTACAATTCAAGTCAGTTTTACTGTAAATACAGGTTTGAACATGCAGTATGTTTGCTGAACAAGTTTATTATTATTATAGTGAATATGTAGTTATTAGGTAGGGATTTAGCCTATACCAAATAATAATAGATAAATAATAATAAAAACAAAACAAATACTTGTCTTCAACTAACTAATGCACCAAGTTCAACACCCTGAACCTATGAAACTTAATTTTGACAGCACATGTTCATAATTTAGTAAAATAATTACTAAGAATGTTTATGTATTCTAAGCCTTATTGGTCAATACTCTGTGAAAAGTTCTCAAGGTCCATATAAAGTTTTATCATTATTATTTTACAAAACAAGGTTCTTTTGTTGATTTTAGAAGATTACAAATTTCTAAAATTTGCTCTGAGAAACCTCATTTCTGTGTTAAATAAATTTGAAACTTACAATAACTAGACACATGTCACAGAATTCTGATGTTGCTAGACTCCTACTGATGAAATGTTCAAATAAATAAAATGCAATTAGCAATTCAAGTAACATAATATGAATTTATAATTGAATATTTTCATTTTACAGTAGATGAAATGAAATAAAAATGTCTTTAGTAATGAATTTGAGTAGTCCTAGAAGAAGACTGTATCTCAGCAAAGACGGCAATGGAGTCTATATAGACAACTGTAATCTACCACAGCACCAAAGAGATGGAATTAGATTTATTTACAGACAATTTGAACTGGTAAGTTTAACATTCTTTGTATGATACTTATTCAATGAATTGATCACAAATAAATAAACAGCACTTTTTATATTCCTAGAATGACAGTATACTATTATTTGTATTGTATTAATGGTGACACTTATCTATTTGTTCTTTGAATTAGCAAATAAGAACAGTCTTAGCGTAAAAAAACTAATGTCGGAAGATTTGTAAATTTTTTTCTCAACTTTCTTAAATTTTATAATAAATTGTAAACATTGCCTCTGATGTTTAGTATAGATAAGCCTCGTAGGTGATAATTACTTTATCTGTCCAGATAATGAGATTTAGTTGTGGTAGATCAACTTGCTTGATCCCAACATGTCCAGGAGTAGAAGCTATGTCAATTTATTTATTTTTTAGATTTTTAGTATTACATATGCTGAGAGCACACAGGTTCCTCTATTCCATATATATTCATTTCAAAGGAGTTATGCATTCTAGTCGGACAGTTATATATTATTTATAAAAATTGAGATTTCAACTTCAAGTTTGGAGATGAGTGGTGGCAATCACATTATACTGTTTGTGTTATAGAACTATGACTAACCGCCAGCCTCAATTGCAGTTAACATTTTTTTTGTACACATCATAACATCATCATTAAACTCATTCTTAAACAGATTTCTAAGACAATCTTAAGGAGCTACCCTATAAATTACCTTATCTTAACCCAGGTAATGAGCTGATTCTATCATGCACTTAGTTTTACTACTATGAAACAATTACTGCACTGAAAAAAACAAGCAAAACAATCACAGAGAGACTGCATATTGTACTTACTTTAGTCTGAGAATCTTCACTGATATGTGTTTTATTTTTGTATATATACTTTTCACCTTTCAGAAAAACCCTGGTATAATATTAAATGATCCATCAGGTTATGGAAAAAAATTACAAGTTGTCTTATTCATAAAAGCAATACGACATGCTCTTGAGGACTCGGTGTTGATCATCTGCAATGATAATGATGCAGTCATTTGGCTGGAACACTTCAGGGAGTGGACTGATTTCTATGATGGTATATTTAATAAAATATCTTTGGCTATAGGAAATATATACAGCTATGAGTTAGTTGTGATTGCGATTTTCTTCAAAGATGATCCCTNAGTTGTCTTATTCATAAAAGCAATACGACATGCTCTTGAGGACTCGGTGTTGATCATCTGCAATGATAATGATGCAGTCATTTGGCTGGAACACTTCAGGGAGTGGACTGATTTCTATGATGGTATATTTAATAAAATATCTTTGGCTATAGGAAATATATACAGCTATGAGTTAGTTGTGATTGCGATTTTCTTCAAAGATGATCCCTTAGGCAGAACCCACTGAGTTTCTCGTCGAATCTTCTCAGTGGATCGCATTCCGATTCGGTGGTAGATTCACAAAACACTGCTCTTATTAGGGCTAGTTATAGCCAGTTCTCTCGGGTGAAAAACCAGTGGTCGAGCTCGCCTACCAATCCTTGCATATTTTGATTGGCTATCAACGATAAAAAAAGGTGAACGGTCGCATCGCATCGCTCGATGGTGGTAGGACCTCTTATGAGTCCGCACGGGTAGGTACCACTACCCATCCTAATTCAGCCGTGAAGCAGTAATGCATTTCGGTTTGAAAGGTAGGGCAGCTGTTATAACTATAATGAGACCTTAGAACTCTTATCTCAAGGTGGGTGGCGGCATTTACGTTGTAGATGTCTATGGGCACCGGTAACCATTATACTGAGCTCGTCCACTCATATAAGCAATAAAAAAATGCCTAACCTAGTGTTAAATGGTCACTGGAGCTCATATCACAATAGACTCATCCTTAGACATGAGGCTTTAAATCATATATGGACTATATTACACCCCATATCAACGAAAATAACGGTGGTACCTAAATATTGACATATAAAACACATTGCGCATTATCTAAGATCAAAATATCTAATTACAGAACATCATCAATTTAATCTAATATAGTTTTCTATTATTTTCAGAAGTGTGTATTGAGAATTTTAATCCTTACAAGAAGAGGTTTGTTTTTATAAACACCATGCAGAATCTTCAAGCATTCACCAGCCGACAGAGAAGTGTCATTATAATTGACAACGATATCATCACAAAGGAAATGTTGAAGCTTTCATACAGATGCAACTTCAAAATATGGATGACATCCGTAGAAATGAAAGTAAGTCCAATCGAACAATTAAAAACTTTTCAATTAATTTTTAACACGTTTATGAAGTCGTCGTGGCCTAACAGATAAGACGTCCGGTGCATTCGTGTTGAGCGATGCACCGGTGTTCGAATCTCAGGCGGATACCAATTTTTCTTATGAAATACGTACTCAACAAATGTTCACGATTGATTTCCACGGTGAAGGAATAACATCGTGTAATAAAAATGAAACCCGCAAAATTATAATTTGCGTAATTACTGGTGGTAGGACCTCTTGTGAGTCCGCACTCGTAGGTACCACCACCACCACCAGGTGGGCTGTGAGCTCGTCGAAAAAAACAAAATTAATTTATTCAATAATATTAAATATTGAAATAAAGTTGATGTTATTTATAATCATACCTGCGAGATCCAACTTGAATATTAAGTCTAAGAATTAACATTTTTGTAATAATGGTTCACAAGAGGCGGTAGTGGATTAGACAGTCGTGGTGGTTAGCTGTAGGCAGCGGCTTGGCTGTGCCATTGGCATCGCTGAAGACCATCAGATGGGGTGTATACTTTTCTACTAACAAGGACAATAAAAAACCCTAAATAGAGAACAATCTAATAAAAATTTAATATTATACAAGTATTACAAGAATGTTAAGTAAATAATGCTGATTACTATGAATAGTGGAAGCACTCACGCATAGATATTATTGAAGAATACATGTAAGTAAATAAAAAAAGCACTAATAAAAAACAAAAAAATACTGTCGCATTTCAGCTAAATTGTTCATCTAGTAGGCCGTTTAATGACAATGTTAATGTTATAAAGCTTTTTAGCCGCAATCCAGCTATCGGTGTCTTATTTTCTACGGTTTTCGCGATTCGTAGACCTAATCAAAATTACATTACCTTATTTAGGATAATCACTGTAGTCTTTGAAATGTCCAACATAATAATAAAATGATAATTTAAAAAAAACTCACGATTAAACCATAAAACAAGTGTTAATTATATTAGTATAAATAAATAAAAAACCGGGAACAAATCACTCACGGTCATCCAGTCACAGATTAGGGATTCCCTGTGATATGAGTATCAGAGACTAATAAACAGACTTATATATATTTAAATGAATACATTTTTTGATAATAAACTGCAAGACAAAGAGCAAACAAACCTGTTCATCAGACGAATGTTTGCCCGATCTGGGAATCGAACCCACGACCTTTCCGCAACAGTCAGGGCCACTAACTACTAGACCAGTGAGTCAAAATTATGACAGTATGATAAACAAATCTGTTAATCGTCTTTATTTTGCATTTCCAGAAAAATCTAGAACTATTCTCTGGTGTATACAGTTGGTTATTTCCAAAAGAAAAAGTGGAAATCGATAAATTCAAAATCAATGATGGTGATGCATCTGATTACGTAACCAAAACGATACTTTTTGATGCTTTCACCGAAGAGTTTTTGAAGAGGAGTGAGGATTTCTTAATGCCTTTTTCTGTTAATAAGGTAAGATTATGTGTACATCTTTACGAATCTCACCGAAATCACCGTACTTTAAGATGAAAATTTAAAAACCATTCTGTTGTTTTTAGAAACCTAGTACTTCGGTCAAACAATCAAGAAAGAGAAAGGACATAACTGGTACTAAAATAAAACGTACTAAACGTGCAATTATAGATGATGATGATGATGATGATGATAATTATATTAAAGTAAATAGTGATATTAAACATAATAATGCTGATGTAACAAATAAGAATGATAATAGTAAGAGTGAAAATGGTGTTAATGATACTGGAGATCAATTAAAAATGGACGTTGAAACGTTCAGAGAACCATGTTCCGAAATGAAAGTACCCGAATTGTGTGATAAGATTGTTAATAATATGGACTCGGTAGATCTGTTTGAACTCGATGAAATGATAGGTTTTAATAACATTAGTTATAATGATGTAAAACAAGCGATTATAAATGTAGAAAGTGATTTAGTGAATGATGATCAAATAAAAAATATTGAATCTGAAACTAAAAACAGTTGTAATCTACTTTTAAATAAGGTAGATAATACAAATAAAGTATCAGAAAATACAGTAGATACTACAAATAAAGTATCATTAAATAAAGACGATAATGAAGTAATTGATGATCATAAAATGAGTGTAGAAGAATCTGAAGTTGACGATCCAAATGACAGTACACAGAGTCACAAAAGTATAGACACGATAATGAAGGAATACGAACATAAAATATACGACAAATTCAAAGGCTCGCTGCTGGATAGTTTATTTTAAAAATATTTGTTCTATCTGTATCGTCGGTGATTCAATAGTGAGTTCTCGTTTCAATAGAAGCTGTTATTCGATTTAAAGATTTTATTTGTCGTTTTGCGGCACACAAATTGTACGCATAGTTTTTGTGACCGCTTAAAACCAAGTGCCTCGTCCTGTGCCCGCTTAAGCCAATAAAAAAAAAACAGTTCTAAAAATAAAATTGACGATATTCTTCTTTTAACCTCTTCTGAGCATTGGTTTTCGAACGCGCAAACTTTTACCATAGTATAGTCCAAAAAATGACAATTAATTAAGATAAGCTTGTGCACAGTAAACCCAAAGCTGAAGGATATTTCCGTTTGATTTTATGTATTTTAAAATATTAACATTTTAAACTTTTCATCGGTGAACAGAAGTGGGAAATTCGATGGGACTGTCATTCAATAAATTGCACTAGTTAGAATATTCTATGACAGTACTTTTTTTTAATGTCAATTGGGTATTTTATTTTATGAAAAATCTTTACTATATCTTATAGACTATAAAGGACAACCACGCCATCCTTACTTGATTGATGAATAATAATTTTTATTTATTTATTGATGATGGTTTTAGAAATGTCGTATGTTTTTTTTAATCGTTTTTCAGTTTTCCAAAATTACTAATATATTATACACATAAATTATTTAATTCATATAATTCAGCAAACCAAAACTGAAAAACAATAACCGAACTTTTCGGAGTGGTTCCACGTGACCAATAAATGTCAACTTTCTTTTTCATCATCATCTTCACCCACACAATTATTGCATTTTTTAATTATCATATTTTATTACGAACAATGGCGACTGTTAGCCTCATACTTCGATCCTTGGATTTAGATAAATCAATTAATGCATTAACAGATATATTAATGAAATAAAACATGCGTTTTTTAAAAGGTATAATTAATTTAAGTACATAATGTAATGTTTGCAATTTCTTTTTTTTTTCATTCCTTTGACTACGGAAATAAAGTATTTGTATTGTTTTTAATTAAGTTATGTATTTTAATTTGATGAGTAGCAAATATAATGTACAGAATTTTTTAAGATCATATTTGTTAGTAAAATTCGTTATGTTATAACATTTAAGTTAGTAGATTAAAAATGCAATACATAGTTGAATAATTTTAACATAGTTTTTGATAAATTTTTTTACTAATTTGTTATCTACAAAACATGCTATCTCTGAATGCCTAAAATAAGGAAATTATTATAATTATTGGACGTTTTTCCGTTTTCAAATCAATTTGACAAAAAAGCAATTTTTAGTATTATGTAATTGAATTTTAAGTATTTAGTTTTATGAAAATAGTTTTGTCTCACATTTTTTTATTAGTACTTAGGGCAGTGATTCTCAAATTATATTTCTCACACCAATTTCCCATTAAAATTATTATTACAATGAACTATCTAACTTGTAATTAATCATTTCATTAATATACTGTTTGTAAAGTTTACAGTATTTTAAATTCAATACTATTATTATAATATTTTCTACTTTATATGTGTCATTATAGATAAATAAACAATGTTTAAACTTATCTTCTCCTTTGTGTGCTGTCAAAATTTGAAATTGTTACAACAGTACTGTAGTGACAAAAAACGTTTGAGAACACTGGATTATTATGTCGAATGACGCGTGACGACATTTCAATCCTTGGAAACACTGAACTGCACTTGTGATTTTTAAATACAAATAACAGAGGAGAAAATTAAACTGTACTTAACTCTTTTTGCTATTGCATATATAGATAATGAAATAAATTTATTTTTTACGAAATAAATTACCATGAATGCATTATTTCTAATTTAAGTATAATACGTACATAGAAAAATGTACTTGGTCGCAATTATGTCAATACCAATTACAATTGTGAATCTTCTTCAGTAACTGTCATTCGGATCGTAATCAAGATTTTTTGTTGTTCTTAGTGAATAGCCAAACTCTCGGGCCACCTGGCGTTAACTGGTTACCGGAGCCCATGCCTACAACGAAAACCACAACTTAGAAATTTTGGGTTGAAGTCCTAATACATAACGTACCTGATCTTTCACCACAGAAATTGTGATTACGCTGTAGCAAAAATAAATAGGGATAAGCTTACGTTGTAGCAAAAATAAATAGGAGAGACGTGCCTACCCACCCGGGGTATAAATTCTTAGAAGCGCAACTCTAAATGTCAATCGAAAATTCAATCTTAAGCACAGGCATCGTGTATTTGCAGCAATCCATTCTCGAACTTTCAAAACCGATGTACTAATGCAATTGGGTTTTCATTGTAGTATGTGGCGCAGTGTGAAACGGAATGACTTCGACTGTTCGTATAATAAGTGCTCATGTTATGTATTTGAACAAAATTGTATTTTATTACGTAATGAAAAACATATGCAACAAAGATTGAAATTAGAACTAGAAATTTTTAGAATAGACAAGAATACCCTATGCCCATCGTCGCTGACTCGTGATAAAAAAAATCCTTGATGTAGACTAGTGATGTGCGACTGAGAATATAAATTTAATATAATATCTAGTACATAGTTAACGTTTGTAATTTTTTTAAATAAATAATAGAGTGTACGACTAATAAATATTGCGAAAACAAGTCTACTTGTGAAATTTCACGTAATAATATGTTCTGGGAAGATTAATAAATATCATCGGATAGATTATTCAAAAGATATGAGCAATAATTTATTTCAAAGAAATAAAAATACGTTTTTTTTCTTCCTTTTATATTCATTTAATATATTTAACAATTTTCTTAAAATACGAATAAGCCAACGTTTTTTTTTCTTCTTTTATTTTCTACCCTCGAAGTAATGTTAAATATCTATATATTTGTTTAAATAAATTTGTCTATGATCAACAATATTTTTGTTTTATTTGTTAGGTAACAATATGCCTCGTAAAACGAACTAGTATCCATAAATGATTTTTGTACATAATATATATTGTAACATATTTGTTAATTTCCAAATGAAACATTTTAACCAAATCGCATTTTCTAATCAAATCCATACTAATATTATAAATGCGAAAGTAACTCTGTCTGTCTGTCTGTCTGTCTGTTCCTCTTTCACGCCTAAACGGCTGAACGGATTTTGATGAAATTTGGTATGGTGATAGATGATAACCTAGAAATGGTCATAGGCTATAAATAATCACGCCATCGTTCTTAGGGGGTAGGCAGTAGGCAGATAACTAAATTNAAGTTAATTTGAAACGCGATTTTTTATAAGTTAGCAGCTATTATCATGCATATTCAGATTTGTTTTGTGAACTTTCAACATTCTACTATTAAACTACAAAAAACGGAAGATTTTGCAACGAATATAAAACTTATATTGAGCGTCGAAAGATTTTCCCGGTTTTTTCCCGATTCGCCTCTCAATCCCTAATCGCCCCATTTTACCGGTATTTTAATTTGATGAGTAGCAAATATAATGTACAGAATTTTTTAAGATCATATTTGTTAGTAAAATTCGTTCTGTGTTATAACATTTAAGTTAGTAGATTAAAAATGCAATACATAGTTGAATAATTTTAACATAGTTTTTGATATATTTTTTTTACTAATTTGTTATCTACAAAACATGCTATCACTGAATGCCTAAAATAAGGAAATTATTATAATTATTGGACGTTTTTCCGTTTTCAAATCAATTTGACAAAAAAGCAATTTTTAGTATTATGTAATTGAATTTTAAGTATTTAGTTTTATGAAAATAGTTTTGTCTCACATTTTTTTATTAGTACTTAGGGCAGTGATTCTCAAATTATATTTCTCACACCAATTTCCCATTAAAATTATTATTACAATGAACTATCTAACTTGTAATTAATCATTTCATTAATATACTGTTTGTAAACTTCATAGTATTTTAAATTTAATACTATTATCATATTTAATATTTTTTATATAATATTTTCTACTTTATGTGTCATTATAGATAAATAAACAATGTTTAAATTTATCTTCTACTTTGTGTGCTGTCAAAATTTGAAATTGTTACAACAGTAGTGTGGTGACAAAAATCGTTTGAGAACAATGAGAACACTGGATTATTATGTCGAATGACGCGTGACGAAGTTTCAATCCTTGGAAACACTGAACTGCATTTGTGATTTTTAAATACAAACAATAGAGGAGAAAATTAAACTGTACTTAACTCTTTTTGCTATTGCATATATAGATAATGAAATAAATTTATTTTTTACGAAATAAATTACCATGAATGCATTATTTCTAATTGAAGTATAATACGTACATAACAAAATGTACTTGGTCGCAATTATGTCAGTACCAATTACAATTGTGAATCTTCCTTCAGTAACTATCATTCGGGTCGTAATCAAGATTTATTGTTGTTATTAATGAATAGCCAAACTTTCAGACCATCTGGCGTTAAGTGGTTACCGGAGCCCATGCCTAGAACGAAAATCACAACTTAGAAATCTTGGGTTGAAATCCCTAATACATAACGTGCCTGATCTTTCACACCAGAAATTGTGATTACGCTGTCACAAAAATAAATAGGGATGAGCTTACGTTGTGGCAAAAATAAATAGGAGAGACGTGCCTACCCACCCGGGGTACAAATTCTTAGAAGCGCAACTCTAAATGTCAATCGAAAATTCAATCTTAAACACAGGCATCGTGTATTTGCAGCCGCCTCGATAGTCCTGACGCAATCCATTCTCGAACTTCCAAAACCGATGTACTAATGCAATTGGGTTTTCATGATAGTACCAATGTGGCGCAGTGTGAAACGTAATGACTTCGACTGTTCGTATAAGAAGTGCTCATGTTATGTATTTGAACAAAATTGTATTTTATTACGTAATGAAAAATATATGCAACAAAAATTGAAATTAGAACTAGAAATTGTTGGAATAGACAAGAATACCCTATGCCCATCGTCGCTGGCTCGTGATAAAAAAAATCCTTGATGTAGACTAGTGATGTGCGACTGAGAATATAAATTTAATATAATATCTAGTACATAGTTAACGTTTGTAATTTTTTTAAATAAATAATAGAGTGTACGACTAATAAATATTGCGAAAACAAGTTTACTTGTGAAATTTCACGTAATAATATGTTCTGGGAAGATTAATAAATATCATCGGATAGATTATTCAAAAGAAATGAGTGATAATTTATTTCAAAGAAATAAAAATACGTTTTTTTTCTTCCTTTTATATTCATTTAATATATTTAACAATTTTCTTAAAATACGAATAAGCCAACGTTTTTTTTTCTTTTTTTTCTACCCTCGAAGTAATGTTAAATATCTATATATTTTGTTAAATAAATTTGTCTATGATCAACAATATTTTTGTTTTATTTGTTAGGTAACAATATGCCTCGTAAAACGAACTAGTATCCATAAAGGATTTTTTTACATAATATAAATACATATTTGTTAATTTACAAATGAAAATTTTTAACCAAATCGCATTTGCTAATCAAATGTATAATATTTAGGCCAAATTTGAGGAAAACCTCGTTTGAGTATTGAATTATCTTTTTAATTGCAAAAAAGCGTATTTATCCTTTTCATCACTCGTGGACATGACAACACTAGCGGCGTACCCAACCCGCTACAGATATAATACATATAATAATAAATAATATAAAAAAAATATGTTTTTCCCCTTAATAACTAAAACTAGTTGAATTAATTTATAGTTTAACTGTAACCGCGTCAATATATAATATAATAACTATATAAAACTATAATACTACCAATAAGTAGTCAGTTAAATTTAAAATATATAAAAATAGTTAAAAATCTATTTTCCAGGTACATGTTGCTCACAAAGTTAACTCACATTAGCTAACATTCGTTTAAAAAAATAATTAAATAAATTGCTCACCAATTTTTAGCAGTTACAGTTTGGCAGATTTTGTGCCGAAAAAAAATCTATTTAACAATATCATTGTTATTAATCAGCTGCCAAACTTGAGCACTCATGAACACACAGTTACTTTCTTAATAACTGGGATTAAGGCGATCTCTCATTATACATGTTTTGCCGTTCATATATTTTTAAAATCGCATTTAATTCAGTTATTTTTATATTAGTTCCAAATAGTTTAAAGTTTTGAGTTCCCAAATGATCATAACAAGTTGCGAGGAATGTTTAGGTATAAATATTAATATAATTCAACTCTTACTTGCTAGAATTTTTTTAAATAAAATATAATATTATAAAGGCGTTTCTAACATAGTCAACGAATGGAATGTATGACTAATATAATGCGTAAGTACATAAGCTAAGATATTAGTTGCCACGTGGAATAACGTTGAACAATGCTCGACGCGAGAGTCATAAAGTCGGATGTTCACAATTTCTGATGTCTTATTATAAATGCTTTGACCATTTTCAAAGCTACAGCTCAAAGTAAAATACAGCTTTTTACGTCACCTTACTATAAAATTATAGTACATTTAATACTTCCAGTTACAATAAACTAAAGGCGATGATCGCGGACCATTTTTAAAAATTCAATCGAACATTTTATGGGTTATCGTTGACCCGTACAAATCGATCTAAAAGGTAAAATCGATTTTAGTCTGTATGTAAATATTTAATCAAATATTTTCGTGCAAATCGATCTAAAAGGCAGAATCGATTTTTGTAAAATAAAAAAAAGAAGCGAAACATTGTCTCGTAATTTTGTAACTTCTCAAATCGAAGCCGAACTTAAGGAATGACATTTAATCGTATTACTGTCATAAGGAGTCAATCAAATTACACTTGTTGAAATACAGAGTTGTAAAGCAAATTATGGAACTGGGGCGCGTTCCCGCCCGGCCCTGACACCGGACCCTGAAAGCATCCGTTTATTAACTCGATGAATAAACGTCTTATCCGCCCGCTGTATATAACAATCGGGCTTTCCGATTTGTAAATAGCCGTAAACACTCTAGCATTTACCTACAAAAATGTTACCCAAAAACACATTTTGTTTCGAATTTTCATTTTTCATTAATCAACAGTTAGAGAAGAAGAAAGAATCGTTTAATATCTCTAAAAAAAAGAAACATATTCGAACACATAATCTACTAAAAAAAAAATCGCCAATGGGAATGTGTTTGAATCATAAATATATATAAAATACCATTTTAATCTTTGAATAAGTATTCATTTGCCAATCGTTTTCAAAATCTGCCATCAAAAATAAGAGATGAGAGCCATAAATAAATATCAATCTAAGCTGATTGATTCGTAAAATAGTTCAAATCAATATATAATTTTATGTGGTCTATAAAATTTACATTACAGACCTATAGGAAAAGTTCACAAATTTATGATCGATTATGGTACCATTCAATATCATATTAGTAAATGGTAGTTTATGTAAAATAATTCTTTATGCCTAATAAATAAAAGATACAACTTTTGTCTGTGATAGATCTTAGACGCTTCTCTTGCCAAAATGTTCTTCTATGCGAATGCACGTGTTTTATTTTAAATAGTTCCGAACTTATAACAGAAAATTTTGCAAAGAAATTTTCTTCGCAATTGCAACCTGAACTAAATTAATCTAGATCGTTCTTAAAATAAATATTACATATAACTATAACGCGCATAAAACATTAACTGTTAATATGATGATGAATTTAAATTTGCTTAATCTTTTGACCAAGCTCTATTATATCGTCGAAGGCTATTTAGATTATGCGACATTTCGCTTAACACGCGACATTTATCTTTGTAATTAAAGGTGCGTTTTATCTGATATTAACAACAACAGTTCGATGTTTTTAATTGAACTTCAATTAAGTTTACTCCATTCAAATAGCTAAAGAAGTTTCTTTTGTTATGACTTTTTTTCCAATTTTTAAACTTGTAATTGCTCTCCTGTATAATACATATTACAAAAATGTCGCTTAAACCAAATAACCTTTCACCCATCTATATACAGGATGATTTAAAAGTTTGATCGATATTATTATCACTTCTGCCGTGAAGCAGTAATGCGTTTCGGTTTGAAGGGTGGGGCAGCCGTTGTAACTATACTTGAGACCTTAGAACTTATATCTCAAGGTGGGTGGCGCATTTACGTCGTGGATGTCTATGGGTTCCAGTAACCACTTAACATCAGGTGGGCTGTGAGCTCGTCCACCTACCTAAGCAATAAAAATAAAAAAAAAATTACTTTAAATTACTTTAATGTACAGGGCGATCATTATACTATAAAAAATTAAATTATCGTTCCTCGGTAACAAATTAGTACCAGACGTCGTGCTCCAGTCACGATAATAACGTAACGTCAGTTTAAATAGCATAAATAAAAATTTGAACATTATCATTAAAAAAAAAAAGTTTCCTCCCTCTCAAAACGGTACGTCAATAAATATGTTATCAAAAATCACATCACAACAAGACATGTTTTATACAATTTTGCGTTACTAATGTTACATATTACATATAAGGCAATAATTAAGCGATAATTACTAAAATAAAAAATTCTATACGAATATTATCTATCATCAAGACAACACAGTTTGTGCTTCTAGCTTTGTCTCTACGGTCCGCTACGAAATATCATACCGTTACAATTTTTTTTTTGTTTTGCGTTCACTAATATTTCTATTGATTTGAATACGTTTGAAATCGTTCGCGTACCGTTAGGGGGTGACGTGGAGGTATTCCGCAACAAACACCCTGAATATCTTATTTAGGTTCTCTATTGTGTTGAAGTCGAGGGCGGTCATGTCGTCGCCCGCCGTGTGCCACACGCTGGGGAAAGGCGACGGAATCACGTGCAAGATGTCCACGTCTAAAACAAACAAAAAATATCAGCGCAAACCTGCTATTAAGGGTCGCCGCACACGGCGCCATCCACCTTGAGATATGAGTTCTAAGGCCCCAAAATTATAATTTGCGTAATTACTGGCGGTAGGACGTCATGCGAGTCCGCACGGGTAGGTACCAACACCCTGCCTATTTCTGCCGTGAAGCAGTAATACGTTTCGGTTGGAAGGGCGGGGCAGCCGTTGTACTGTTAAAAGTAAGACCTTAGAACTCTATACAATGGGTTATTATTATATTGATTTAGCGTCAAATCTGTATATCTGCAAACTTATCTATGACAATGATATCAATACGTATCGTAAAGATAAATTTGCGTTACATAATGTTAAACGAAGTGCAGATCAGAGTGAGAATTTTAAGGTAATATGTGAGGTACAGTAGGGGAAGTAGACCTTATTCCCTATTAATGAAGGTACTAAAAAGCCGTAGAAAATAAGCACTTCAAAATGCGGTAGGAAAGGGATCTTCTAAAACACTGTAAGGAATAGGCTCTACATAACTATAAACAAGCAAGATAAATTCTCATGGAACCTAGACTTTTTTATGAATGGGGGTCACCGGTGCCCCGGAGGCCTTTCCAGTTTCACCAAGACAGATGGGCGAGCAATACATGTGACTAGGAGATGTGTGAAAATGGTAGAGCAAGGTAGAGAGGGAAGAGGTCGACCGAAGAAGACATGGATGGAGTGTGTGAATGATGATATGAGAGAGAGAGAGAGAGAGGTGACGGCTTATAGAAGAGAATGGAATAGAAAAAATCGCTGTGCCGACCCCACCTAGTGGGATAAGGTGGAGCCAAAGAAGAAGAGGTGGGCGAGCAAAGGCTCAGCCAGGAGGGGAGGGATTTCCTAACAGCTGCCCGAGCGTCTCCAAAGGTGACCTAACAACTCTGGAGCAGCTGCTTCGCGAATGAAGACCCTAGTTGTTGAACCTTGTTGAAACTATGACTTTAGAACGGTGTTTCCCAACTTGGGGCCCACGCCTCACAAAGGGGCAATTTGATAATTAAGGGGAGCAATCGCACTAAATTAATATAGAAAATCTGTATTAAAATTATTTTGAATTTGAATTTCAGTTTTCTATTATATGTTTTGAAATATGTGTTCTGATAACAATTTCACAGTGATTTCGTGCTAAAAGCTATCATTTATGTTTTTAAAGTAAACAAATAATTTTTTTAATGATTGAAATGATGTATAGGGATGTAGATCATAAAAATTTCAGAAATGTTACAGTGGGGTGTGGCACAAAAAAGGTTGGGAAACACTGCTTTAGAATGTCTAATAATAGTTTTATTTTAAATATTAAACCGAAGGAAATCCTAATCCTTCGGTTTCCGCGATTTATAAACGTAGAACTACTTTTACATTTTAATCTCACTTTTAATATCTTCATTCATCTTATCAATCGTCCGTGACCACGAAAACTGTAAAGGACTCAAAACGTCGGAAACAATAAACACGCGAGATTTAAGGTGTTGTAAAGTGTTTTTTAAAATAAAATAATAATCACTGGAAACAGATCAGACACGGTCATCGGGCTCCCAATTAGGAATACCTGTGTTACATACTTCATCATCATCATCATAGTCTTGGCAGAGCGGAACGTGGATTTCTTGATTATTAAAGCCTAGGCTTGCCTTGCCAGATGTTCTCCATAGTTTACGAACGAGGCTTGAGCGCACGTACTCATTAAGTGGGATATTGAAAGGGATTTTCATCTGATCAGGCGCACGGGGTTTCGTCCACGAGATATTTTACCATTGACCCTACCCTGAACAACAAGTTTCTCAATAGTACATACTTATATACGTTTAAATATATACGTATCTAGATAATAAACCCAGATAAAAATTAAAAACCGACCTGTTCATCACACAATGTTTGCCTGATGTGGGAATCGAACCCACGACCCTCGGCGCCACAGTCGGGTGCGCACCCGCAATTACTGCGCCACCGAGTCAGTCAAAATGATTTAAAGTTGGTATATATGTATAGTTTATTTTTTAGTATTTAAGTTTCAATTAATAATAATTTGTTTCAATTATTTATATGCAGGAAATAATTTATAATTTAAATAAAAAATTTAATGGCCAATTAAATATGTCAAATTTGTTTAGAAAGATAGGCCGCGCGGACGCGGATATGAAATACGCTATCAAAAAAAAAAAAACACTTGGCTATGTGTCTTTATCGGGCATTCAGCAATTCTATCTGCATCTGTGGCAATGTTTACAAATGCACAATATTATTAGAGCACTAAAACCATAGATAACGAATATTAGGAAACAAGTTGCACACGTGTTCGTGGGGTAATTAATTAATATTATTGTTTTAATTACAACGTCAATGTCGCGCTATCGGGGCAATAAAAAATCGAAATGACAAAATTAACTGTTGTCCTGAACACGTAATTATCAATACACAAATATGTTACTAATAGGTATATGTACTGACTTAAGATCTATGGGAGGGAACTTGACTTCACAGTCAAACGCGGCGTGTTAAAAAATTTTACTGATTGTAGGACGTCTTGTGAGTCCGCACGGGTAAGTACTACTACCCTGCCTATTTCTGCCCTGAAGCAGTAATGCGTTTCGGTTTGAAGGGAGGGTCAGCCGTACTGTTAAAACGGAGACCTTACAATTCATATTATATCTCGAGGTGGGTGGCGGCATTTACGTTATAGAAGTCTATGGGCTTCGGTAATCACTTAGCCTCAGGCTGGCCTTGAGCTCGTCCACCAATCTAAGCAATAAAAAAAAGAAAATTCATTTTATCAGGTCACAGAACCTAAAAATGTAGGTAGTTGTAGGACATCGGAATATATCTGCCGTACCTTTTTCAGAATTTATCTAGATAAAAACGGTAGAGATTTTTTTCCCTACCTATGCTGATAGCCTTGAGAGGCTATTTCAGCTTCTCCTTGACGTATAGGTGAGCTTACGGGGCTCAAACCGGGAGTGTTGCTAACACTGGCCTTAGCAAGAGCAGTGCTTCGCAGAATCTACCACCGGATTGGAAACGTGACAAACTGAGAAGATCCGGCGAGAAACTCAGTGGGCTGTGTCTCTGGGTTAATTTACTCTCCGAGCCCTTCGTCGCAAGCGACGGGTTCGACAAGCACGGTGACCGGTGCTTGTGGTACCTAAAAGCACCATTAGTGGATCGAGAGGATCCGTAATGACGTGTTAAGGGCGACGTCGACTGTTTACCATTCAGTCAATAGGATCGGGTATGTAATTCCCGGCGGCCACGACAAGAGGGTTTTCGTGTCCTGCCGCCTTCTCAAAGTGAAACGCGCCACGTAGGACACCGGTGACATACATAGCAGTCAATATGTCAACTGAAACAGTCTCCGGTTAAATACGCAGCCTTGTTTCAGCTGTATACAATCGCCAATCGCTAGCCTCTAGATAACTAGTCGAGAGGTGATTGAGGTCACGCGGTCACACAAACACACAATTAATATTTAAGAAAGGAGGAAAAATGCATTAGAAAAAAAAAATTAACTTGACCTCCAAACTCAACGATCTAGTTATAAATACATTCTTTATCTATACTAATATATAAATCTACAGTTGTTTTTACGGATGTTCCGTTATAACTACTGAACCATGCATCCGATTGACTTGAAACTTGGTATCCATGTAGAAAATACATGTACTTAATGGATAGACTAATATTTATATGAGTGCTGGACTCCCTAATAATAATGACAATAAATAATAATGTTAATTTTAAATGCCCAGCGAAGCAGGCGAGTACCTACGGCTAGTACTGTATACTTAGTCTGGCCATAAATACTGTTACAATTAAAAATAAAGTATTACATTTGATTTGGAATCTGTCATTTTTATATGATTGCTCATTGAGTTTTCTCATTTTGGCGCCAATACATTGTACAATATTTTGCGATATTAAAATGGAGTGGGGTGATAAAGCGGTTCTCTTAATCGCTGTGATTTTACACAAAGTAGGTATGGAGCCAAATGCAATTTTTAAAACTCTCCATACGCTTGGTATTAGTAAACTGTTTGTGAACCGGGCTATTAATAGGTGCAATGAGACCTCCTCTGTTTGTGACAGAAAAAGATCTGGCCGTCCACGTAGTGTTCGTACGAAAAAGGTGGTCAAAGCAGTAAGGGAAAGAATTCGAAGAAATCCTGTCCGAAAGCAAAAGATTTTATCTCGGGATATGAAGATAGCACCTAGAACCATGTCGCGTATTTTAAAAGATGACTTAGGACTTGCAGCCTATAAGAGACGTACTGGTCATTTCTTAACTGGTAATTTAAAAGAGAATAGGGTGGTAAAATCGAAACAACTACTGAAGCGGTACGCAAAGGGAGGTCATAGAAATTTTTTGTTTACGGATGAGAATTTTTTCACAATTGAGCAACAATTTAACAAACAAAATGACCGTATTTATGCTCAAAGCCATAAGGAAGCTTCCCAATTAATCGACAGAGTGCAACCTGGGCACTATCCGACTTCAGTGATGGTTTGGTGGGGTATTAGCTATGAAGGAGTGACTGAGCCCTACTTTTGTGAAAAAGTTATCAAAACATCGGCACAAGTGTATCAAGATACCATTCTTGAGGAGGTAGTGAAGCCCCTTAACAACACCATGTTCAATAATCAAGAATGGTCCTTCCAGCAAGACTCGACGCCAGGTCATAAAGCTCGGTCTACGCAGTTTTGGTTGGAAACGAACGTTTCGGACTTCATCAGAGCTGAAGACTGGTCGTCGTTTAGTCCCGATCTTAATCCCCTGAATTATGATTTATGGTCAGTTTTAGAGAGTACGGCTTGCTCTAAACGCCATAATAATTTGGAGTCCCTAAAACAATCCGTACGATTGGCAGTGAAAATTTTTCCCTTGGAAAGAGTGCGTGCTTCTATTGATAACTGGCCTCAACGTTTAAAGAAATGTATGGCAGCCAATGGAGACCACTTTGAATAAGCTTTTTATACTTTAAATTGTTTTATATTTATGTATCAAACTAACACACTGTAAAAATAATAAATGTTATTTGCAATAGATTTTTTTTTTATTTTTTATTGTAACAGTATTTATGGCCAGACTAAGTATACCCTCTTTCGCAATATTTATATGGTAAAATACTGGTGGTATCTCTCAAAATATAAATTATAAAACCACTTTCACGATGAAGGAAAAATATGATATGATGAACAAATAATACAAACCATATATTTTATTTATATATCGAGGGGAGAAAAGCTATTTGTTTTTGCGACATTTACCTTTCTAATTAAGGGTCTGTTTTATTTGGTATTAGCGTCAACAATTCGATGTTTTTAATTGAACTTTAATTAAGTATACCCCCTTCAAATAGGTAAAGACGTTTTTTTTATATAATTTTTCCAAATTGTAATCTTTAAATGGCTCTTCCGTAAAGTTGCAAAAATATAGCTTATACCAAATACCCTTTCACCCCTCGATATATACATATAGACATTTTGCTAAAATGGGTGGACGAGCTCACGGCCCACCTGGTGTTATATGGTTACCGGAGTAAATACCTTGGGACATGAGTTACTCTCTGTTTTTCCAGTACGATGGCTGCCCTACCCTTCTAATCGAAACGCATTACTGCTTCACGGCAGAAATAGGCAGGGTGGTGGTACCTACCCTAACGATGGACCGGCCAATACAATACAATTAACAAATTGAGCGCCGTGTAGGACACCGGTGCCCTACGTAGCGCACTCAAGTAATTATGTCAATTTCTGTTACTAAGCCCCTAGATTTCCTTACTTTTGCCTTCTATTGTATTTAATTAAATCTTCTGTGTATATAAAAATGAATTGCTGTTCGTTAGTCTCGCTAAAACTCGAGAACGGCTGGACCGATTTGGATAATTTTGGTCTTGAATTATTTGTGGAACTCCAGAGAAGGTTTAAAAGGTAGATAAATATGAAAATGCTCGGAATTAAATAAAAATAACAGTTTTGTTTTTCCTTTGATGTCCCCCCCCCCGTCGGACAAATTCCTTTTGTTTGTTTTAAGTTTATTTTATACAAAAGTTGAGGTCTTTTATTTATCGATTGAGGCACTACGAAGTCTGCCGGGTCAGCTAGTGATCGATAAATAATAAAACCTAAGCCAATTCAGTGATAACAGTCTTTCAGACTCTATTTACTAAAGGGTACAATCACGAAGTGGAACTTACAATTTTAGTCTTTTAAGGTCTCTTAGAAATTATTTCATTCTCAGTATATTCGGATTCGTCTTTCTCAGAGTCTACTAGATATTTCGCCACTTTAGCCACAGAGCAGGTATCCCTGAAGAATGCGCTACGCAGGGTACCGGTGACCCTATATACTGAGATCTTAGAACTTATATCTCAAGGTGGGTGGCGCATTTACGTTGTAAATGTCTATGGGTTCCAGTAACCACTTAACACCAGGTGGGCTGTGAGCTCGTCCACCCATCTAAGCAAATAAAAAAAACCTACATGGTAGTCAAAGGGTTAAAGAGTTCCTCCTTTTGTTCCAAGATCGGTGGTGCAGTCCAGGCTATTGTTGTTCTACATCGGCCCTGACCTCATCTACTTAACTAATAATAAATAATAGTTCAAAAAAACTAACAAAATACGCTTTTATAGAAAATCCAACTAAAAAATAGACAATACATTTTAAGAAATTTGCATTAAAATTAATGTAAGAAAAAATGATTTTATTGTAAAAAAATCGTACTTTTCAGGATATTATAAAAATAACCTTTCTACTCATATCTGTTTATAAAATATTTATAACTACTGATACCATGCACCCCACGCTTTTTTTTAATTAAAAATTAATAAAATTTATTTTCTATTTTTTAGTTGGATTTTCTATGAAAGCGTATTTGGTTAGTTTTTATAAACTATTTTTTTTATTTTATTAATTTGGCTTATGATAGTGGCAGCGTTATTAACGCAACTGGATATTCTTTGTAAACTGTTTATTATATACGATTACGAGCACACAATTGATAAACACTAAAAATAGTATTTAATAATAAAACTATTATTTATTTTTTATTTTTGAAGTAGAATTTCAATTTTTTTATTATTTTTTTTATAATTGAATAGTCATCAGTCCTTAATTACATTTTTTTTTTCAATTTTCCAAATTTAGTTAATCCGACGTTTTGAAGGGGGGTCAAAATCATGTTTCTTTTTATTTATTTTTATTGCCCTTGTAGGCAGACGAGCATACAGCCCACCTGATGGTGAGTGGTTACCGTCGCCCATGGACTTCAGCAATTCCAGGGGCAGAGGCAAGCCGCTGCCTACCGCTGTTCAAAGATTCCGTTACATACCAACATACATACGTCTGAAGCTAATAAAAGCGTATTAAAAATAATGAAACAGAAGTCGCTTACTTCGTCTCATGAATGGAATGTGATCGTCCTCGATGACCGCTCCCGAACTCATCAGCCTGAAGTAGGTCTGCTCCGATTTCCCTCTCGTGTACGCATCGAACATTCCTAATTCGGCTAAGCGCTGTTCGGCGGAGGCGAGACGGACGTACCACTTCTCCGTCGATTGAAAATAACTGAAGAACACCGGATCCGGTGCTCCGAGGAGATCCAGCAGTACCATAACGTCCTAAAACAATGTTAAAAACGAATAACAGATTTAAACGTTAACAGATAAAAAAAAAAAAAAAAAAAAAAAAAAAAAAAACCTTGCTAATCTACCGGAGCATTCTTTTTTTAAATTATTGCTTAGATGGGTGGACGAGCTCGCAGTAACTGGAACTCAGACATATACAATCGTAAATGCCGCCACCCACCTTGAGATACAAGTTCTAAGGTCTCAAGTATAGTTACAACGGCTGCCCCACCCTTCAAACTGAAATGCATTACTGCTTCACGGCCGAAATAGGCAGGGCGGTGGTACCCACCCGTGCGGACTCAGAAGAGGTCCTACGACCAGTAATTACGCAAATTATAATTTTGCAGGTTTTAATTTTTATTACACGATGTTATTCCTTCACCGTGGAAATCAATTGAGAGCATTAACGTATTTCATTAGAAAAATTGTACCCGCCTGCGGGGTTCGAACACTGGCACAGATACGAATGCACCGGACGTCTTACCCTTTAAGCCACGACGATTTTTTTGACTAAGACCGCGATTATCGAATGCTAAACATTCACAACGATACTGATTTAGTCGGAGCCAAGCCCCAAGGTTTTATTGTGTACTTTTCAAATGAGTTGTCCTGTATTGTGTACTTGAAACAGAATATTTTTTGAAAAAAAAAACCTCTGTCATCGTTCGTAGCCTAAGGGGCCATTATAGCATCGCGCGGATTGGTAGTTGAGCTTATGGCGTCTCCACTTGGGAGGACTTTTTAACATTGGCCCAAGCAAAGGCAATGTTTGGTTAAATCTAGCGACGGATCAGAATCGCGACTCACTGTGAAGATTTGGCGAGAAACTCACTGGATTGTATCTACGGGCTACAACGGTGACGGATGGTGGTGAACTGAACTAATTATGTCGATTTCAAAGACGCCGGAATATCTAGTAGACTTTGGGAAAGACGAATCCGAATGATACTGAGAATGAATATACACATTCCTAAGACTAAAGCATTCGTTAAAAACAAAATAAAACAAAGTTAGGTAGTCAGGTAGACAGGTAATCCAAATCTTCTCAAAATTCATACACGACAAAAGAATGTCACGAATATCACTGGCTATCGATGTTTTTTGAGTGAAACGTATTTGCTTTGACGCCTCTCTCGGTTAAGAAAGGAAAATCAATTTAATTGCAGTTCGAAAAAACCGACTGATTAACAAACAAAGTCTTCCTTAATGCATATGAGCAATTTTCTCGGAATTGTTTATCGCCCATCGAAAACTATAACGCAGATAAAGTATCTGGGTTTTCATTATTTCAAACGTACATATTATGATAGGCCCAATGAAAAGGTCACGACACTGATTGCTTTGAATGTGTTCGAATAAAAATATAACAGCAAAACAACTCTCTCATAATGTTCCTAAAACAGGGTGAATTCTTCGCTTTGTTATCTACGATTTTATTATTGTGACCAAAAAGAAGATATAGTTTAAAAAAAAAAGATGCCGTCATTAAAAAGTTATTGCAACGTTATACGTAATAATAAGTAAACAAATATTTAATGCCAATACACTTTAAGAAAGTCTAATCGTGTATTTAAATTACAAGAGGATAATTTAAAAATACCCATTTCTTGTTTACATGTTGTGGTTAAACTTACAATTCTCAATTATAATTTCCTTTAATTACAAAGATAAGCTTGGTAAGTGAAAAATGTAAAAAAAAAGGAAGTCTAATAATGTGGATTTGTTTGAATGAACAAATCGAAATAACAATCTATTATTTAAACTACTATATACATATTTAATTTTATTACTAGAATAACATTTTTAAAACGTTAATCTTACGAGGTATATCATTCATTATTGGGTCATTATTATCTGATTTGAAATAAACATTTAAAGACGCAAGCATGTTTTGAAAATTTCAAGTTACTTTAAGTAAGTTATGGGCATTGAGAAATAGGTTTTTTTTAAGATTGGGAGTTTACTGGTGGCCCTGAGGCCTTTCAAGTTTCACAAGGACAGGTGGGCGAGCAAGAGCTCAGCCAGAAGGGACGGGATTTGCTAACAGCTACACGAGCGCCTCCAAGGGAGATCTAACAACTCAAGAGTAGCTGCTTCACGAATGAATCTACTACCGGATCGGAATCGCGGCTGAGAAGATCCGGCGAGAAACTCAACTCAATGCGGAGTTCGACGAGTACGGTTACCGGGGTCTCTACTCCTAGTATTAGAACGGAAGGCGTCTAATGCAAGGTTTATTGGATCTGATGGATCCGTAAGGACTTGGAAATTTCGGTACGTACCATTCTCTGCAAGTTATTAGCGCCATCCCTGTACGGCGTTTCGTGCCATTTCTTGGCCAAATGCCTGGCGCCGTAGATGGAGTCAGTGGGGCCCCACTGCCGGAAGGCCTCCTCACCGTCGAAGAATATGAACATGAGACTGAGGTTGGCATCCTTCAGCCTCTCCAGCTGTTTTTTCATCACCTTGGCCAGGTTCAAGAGCATGGCGCAGGGCACCGCCGAGTCAGTTGCACCTTATCAAAATTTAAAGGTTTTATTATTTAAAAAATATATATATATTATAATTTAAAAATGTGTCGTTTAATAGTTGTTCCATTAGCACCGTACTTTCTATCCGTCCACTTCACGGTAGAAATAGGCATGACGCTACCTATCTACGCGTTAGGGCTTACGCCGCGCCGTACCATATGCTAAAAAGATACATCGTTTAACAAAATTAAATCGGCAATATGGACGAATTTCCGTCATTATCGATGCTGGACTCACACGAGATCGAGTGAGCTGATGATACGTAAGACTTTTTGCCGAAAGCATTCATAGCTCCTCTCCCAGGCTGAGTATTGCTGGCTGGGTTATGTTATTCTGTCTATAAACCCCCTGAGGATGAGCATAACATGTCTGATAGCATTAAAGATCTTGCATAAGCAATATAAAACACTCACCAACAAAAACGTGTTCCCTTGTATATTTACTGTCATAATGACATGCCAATACCAAGTATCTGTCGGCATTAGGATTCAATTCAGCGATAATATTCTTAAAATTCAACGTTCCGAACACCGGCGTGTGATCGGGAAACACGTTTTCGGTCACTGACCAGCCCATGGTCCGCATCTCGTTGGCTATGTAATTTCCGACTTTCTCGTGATTCGGTGTACCGACCACTCGCGGTATTAATATCTCATTAAGTACAGCCTTAAAGTGATCCAAATCGGACAGGTTGGCGATTGCTTTTATGTCGTCGTCGGTAAAATCGTGCGGTTCGTGGAAATTCTGAAAATCGGCACTTAATTGAGTTAATTGAACCGTACCCTATAACTCTTTTCGATCAGTAGATTAGCACGCTATAGAGTAAATACAGAGCTGGTGTACACAATTAAGTTGATGCACATGCATAGAATACAGACGCATTAGTAGGGGAGCCCAAGCGGGGATTTCGGGATTTACTAAAGCGCGGCAGATTAATATACAGGAAGATACCTTGTACCCGGTTAAGTACCTCCACCAAATATGAACCTCATAAATAAGGCCGCGCGTCCAGGATAAAGGATCAGATTAGTAAAAAAAATTGATCATCTGAAATTCTCAAGCGCGTCAGATTAAGGTAGGGTGAGTTCATTACATGCTAAAAAGTGTATATTCCACTAATCTGACAATTTGAGAGTGACGTAAAGAAAGGGGAGGGCTACAAAGTTGTAAAAAACAAACGTCGTGTGGACATTCTCGAGCGTGGCTCAATTTTCTTTTATTTTGAAGGAAATGATTGAAGAATAACGAAAAATTTATAATCTGACGATTACCACAAGCTGAAATAACAAAAATTCGTCGTTAAAGTTGAATTTGTGCAGCTGCGTCGTAATGCTTATATTCCCCTCTCCGCGTTTTTTTTAGCATGTTTTTTTAAATTATTGTCTTGCAAATACAAGGATTTTACTTAAAAAACATAAACTTTTTATTTGCAAGCTATTTCCTGAGCTTTTCAATTAATTAGGCTCAATGATTTAAAAAAAAAAAAATTTTTTGTCCTATTATGCAAATCTCTTTAGATAATCGTCAGATTATGAGACAGCACGTCTAGGACATAAAGATGAACCATATATATCTTATTCTGACACGCTTGAGTATTTTAAAATTGCGATAATTTTTTTTCATGTCATAATAATGGCGGCAGGTCACAGGCACCATATTATTATGTGACTCGCACATTCCTCTTCCCCTAAAAGGGAAGATATATAAGACCTTAATAAGGCCTGCCGTCTTGTATGGATCAGCTTGTTGGACAACGAAAGTGGCGGATGAAAGGCGATTGCATGCAGCAGAGATGCGAATGTTGCGATGGATGTGTGGAGTAACGAGAATGGATATAATACGTATTGAATATGTTAGAGGAAGTCTGAAAGTGGCACCTGTGACAGAGAAGCTGAGGAGTGCATGTTTAGGATGGTATGGACATGTGATGAGACGAAATGAAAATGAGGTTGTTAAGAGAGTGTTAACTATGAATGTGGAATGATTTAGAGGAAGAGGTAGACCTAAGAAAAAATGGATGGATTGTGTGAAAGACGATATGGGTAGGAGGGGAGTGAGCGATGAAATGGTATATGATAGAAGAGTATGGAAGGAGAAAACATGTTGCGCCGACCCCAGGTGACTGGGAGAAGGGCAGGATAATGATGATGTTGATGATGAATAACGGCCGCGAGTTTGCGTCACATCGAAATCGTCAAATTATTGCATGAGATCTTTATTTAAGGTTCACTTAAGATCCCCTAATAAAACGCGCTCGATTAATTTTGTTTTTTTTTTCATTTTCAACCCTTAACGGTCATAGGTACCCCCATCATTGCAAACGATCAGATTAACATACACACATAATTAAAAATACGTAGGACATTTATGCTATCAATATCTGACGCGCTCGAGTATGTCCATGCAACAGTTTTTTTTTTACAAATTTGGAAATCTATAGCTGCTTCCCCCACCTATGAAAAGGTATACATTATGCCATTTTTTTCTTACTAGCTGACCCGGCAGACTTCGTAGTGCCTCAATCGATAAATAAAAGACCTAAACTTTATTTAATTTGGAGAATTTTCATATTTATCTACCTTTTAAACCTTCTCTGGACTTCAACAAATAATTCAAGACCAAAATTAGCCAAATCGGTCCAGCCGTTCTCGAGTTTTAGGGAGACTAACGAACAGCAATTTATTTTTATACATAGATTATCATCAAAGCTTTGCAACTCAATCAGTATCTATGACGCTCAAGTACATCCCCATTTAGCATAGTGGGCTCCCCTACTATATCATATAGAGGGGTAAAAGGGTATTTGGTTTAAGCGATATTTTTTCGATATTACAGGAGAGCCATTTAAAGTTTAAAATTAGGAAAAAATATAACAAAAAAACTTCTTTAGCTATTTCAAGGAGCAAACTTAATTGAATTTCAATTTAAAATATCTAACTGTTGATGCTAATACCAAATAAAATGCACCTTTAATTACAAAGATTAATTTAGCGTATTATGTGAAATGTCGCTTATAACTAAAGTCTTTCAACTGTCGATATGTTGTTGTACTATCCTTTTTATACTATAGAATTATATGTTCGTATTGGATATTTTTATAAGACTTTATTAATAGGTAGTTGATTGAGTTGTAGTTTGTTTTTATTAATATATAAAAATCACTGGGCACAATAATATTGCTTCATACAATTGAAAAAATTTTTTAAATGAACAATAGCATATTATCATGCGCTAAAAGTACAACAGAACAAATTAATTAATAATTTGCATACATATTGATATACCTATCATGTTTTATTTATACTGTCTATATTTGGTATGTCAAGCATTTTAATGATGACTTCAATAGTTGTCTTTATTTTTTAAGTGGCTACCAAACTACCTTCACTGTTTAATGCAGGATGCATTTGCATACCTACTATTTTCATTTGATTATTTCTATAATTTTTAGCACTTCAATGTTCTTGGTAACAGATGACTAAAATTTTATGTGTAGACATTTGAATATCGTGTTAACTAGTTTGGTTCGTCAGTAACTAGTAGCTAGTGACATTTCACTTAATAAATTAAAATATTAATGACAATATTATTAATATATATAGACCATATTCATGTTTTGTTTTAATTCTTGGTATAACAGCTGTTATTCATATTCGAGGGTATATCAACTTAAATACTAGCTTATCTCATATTCAAGATCATATAAAAAGCTTATAAACATCTAAGTAAAAAGATCAATGTAAATTTATGATAAAAAAACATTTTTCTTTGTTGGTCTTTTTCAAATGATATATGGCCTTCACAAGTAAAAGTATAAAATTTAACTAGTGTTAGATATATATCAAAATTATTAAAATTATGCTTACTTTTTCTTGGTAGAACTTGAGGTCGCCTTTATCCGAGTTTCCGAAAGCGAAACACAACATCAAAAACAAATATAACAATTTAGCCATGTTAGTGAGTGATAAAATTACTTTACTATGAATTTAATTTCTGAAATTAATGTTATTTTACTCAAATTTTGTACTACTCAAAGTTTCATAAAGTTTATGTGTTAATTTAAAAGTTTTTGTATACTGCCACTACCACTTTCAAAGTTTCGCCCTTCGTGGCAGTTTCAACTGAACTGACTTGAACTGAGCCTGAACTCTGAAATTGTGACAGTACGTCATAATGTCCGTCCGTCTACTATCAAGTAGGGAGGCGATCTGAGGTCGATCTATCGATATATCCGCTTGACCAAAATATTTCGATTATAAATCAATGCTTATTTAATATAAAAATATAGAGATAAAAGCGAGATTAATTTTTATCCCATTCATTAAAATCTCAACGATAATATATTTTAAGACCATTTTATAAACACGTGTAAATGAAAATAATAATTACCTTCCGCCGGTAAATAAAGTTCGGTAATGGCACGACTTGAGTTCTTTCCGATTTATGTCAGCAGATAAAATGTATCACATAAAAAATATATTTTTGTGCGATAATAATTTGTGATTGACGACTAGTTGATTGATATAGTATATCATCTGCATCTAATTGATTGATTCTAGCGATCAAGTTTTTCATATATGTAGAACGACAACCATTTTGAGAAAAATCGATTTTGGATTGATCATTTTCGGGAAAAATTACAATCCCTCTAGTGCTTAAGCTGCAACTTGTGACTTTTTCTACATTTCCGACCAGTGTATATATAATCTATGTTTCCGACCCAGGCAACGGGGCAACGCAAAAGTACCGTCACCAGAACATGTTTTATCGGATCCTCCGAATCCACTCTAGTTGCTTTTAGGCACTTCAAGCACTGGTCACCGCACTCGTTGAAAGTCCTCGTTGTCGAAGAGTTCGACGTACTTAAAAAACTTAAACCGCGGAGCTTAAAGCCGAATATTCTCAGTGCATCGCGATTCCGATCCAGTGTAGATTCAATGAAGCACTGCTCTTGCTAGGACAGATAATAGTAAATCCCTTCAGGCTAAGCCCCGTGAAGTCGACCACCAAACAAGGCCCCTCGAGGTTACTCGCAGATAAGAAGGCAAAAAAGTGTTTTATTTTACTTATTTCAATATTTTTGTAAACAGCCTTAATTTTTTTTTATGTTTATTTAATGGAAAAAAAAACCTGTTTATTTTCAATGCGGCATGAGACCGCTCTTTAACACACCCGCTCGGCCACTCAATCTTCTAATATAACAACTTACGTGGGCGCACCTTTGGGAAATCTGTTTTCGAATCTATTATTATTTTACGTCCGGTTCTTTTAACAAAACGCAATTCAATTAACTTTTATTAATATTTTATCATGACGACCCTTACTCAACATTTAAGTTTTTATTGGTGATCTCCTGGGTTGTGTGTGATTTCGGTCTAATAATAGCACAATACCTTCTTTGTGCGTACCCTAAAAACCGACACCAGTAAATCACCGGAGGAAAAACAGCGTTCTCTGACCATTCACTGTTATTGCTTCGGCAATACATATAATAAAATTGGAGCGATACAGAGAAGATGAGCATGGCCCGTGCATAAGGATGACACACAAAATCGTGAAGCGTTCACTTTTTTTTAAAATTCATCATGGCCTATAGGATGTCGTCCGGTGCATTCGTACCTTGCAGTTATGCGTTTCAGTTTGAAGGGGGGGGGCAGCCATCATACTGTAAAACTGAGACCTTAAAACTATTATATCAAGGTAGTTCGCGGCATTTACCTTGTAAATATGTGTATGGGCTCCAGTAACCACTTAATATCAGGTGGGCCGTGAGCTCGTCTAAGCAATAAATAAATAAATCAGCATACTACGACCGCCATCAAACATATTTCACTGATAGTATTATGAGCAAATCTATTAAAGAATTCATTAGTGTTAAGTGGTTTCCTGAGTCCATAGACTATATATACTACATGAATGGCGCCACCCACCTTGAGAGTTCAGTGTGCTTAGCGCGAGTTTCTTAACGTTCTCGATAGCGTAAAAGTTAACCCAATTTTGTATGCAGTTGGAACAGCGCCCCTAGCGGCAAACGTACGCGAACGATTCCATTCCATACAAATATGAACTAACTTTTACGCTATCGAGAAAGTTAAAAAACTCGCATTAAGCTCGTAGGTATGTTGTTTCGATTGTCCAATAAGAAAATCAATACATAATAGATATTTAATAATATCTCCTTCGGTTTTCGCGAGTAGGTAGTCGACGTAATCAAAAGTTTTTTGTTTTTCATAAAAATTGGCAAACTATAAATTCGTATAGGTAATTATCGGCGGTAGCCTGGTAATAATAATAAGTATTGCACTAACAAACGATTCTGACCAATAAAATTTTATTAGCATTAACAAAAGAATGGTTAACACAGTGAATGATTATATACTTGTTTAAATTACTCTTAGAAGCCTCTTATAAGATAAAAATAATCCTTTTTATTAAATTATGCCCTTTCGAGAACATGCTCCTTCAAGTATTTACGCAATTTGCTATCATATCCGACGCTGCGTCGCAGTTTATACTGGACGACGTGCAACTGTGACTCTCCTGATATCTTCACGCGGATATTCTTCTTTGGGTAGACGCGGCTGGAGAATACCACGTCTCCGGAACCACAGAAAACCTCTATTGAACTATAGTCGACGAATATACGCAGTTTTAGTTTATCGTTTGGAGCCCAGTCCGCCCTCCTGAGGCCGTCCACTCCGCCGCGATCCACTATGATGTGACCTCGATCCGCCGAGTACCCCACCGTGTACTGCTGGTCGCCATCCCATTCAAATATGACGGCGACATCGTAAAACACTTTGGCAGTGCTGACTATCAACTCAAAAGTCCTCGTCCCTGCATAGAAAGCCTCGCCGGGGTTGTACCACGCGTCTTCAAGTATTTCGGTCCGTAATTCAGCTACTTCCCTAACAGGAGGCATCTGGAGACGACCTTGTGGCGTCAGCTTCATTTCTCGCACAATGGTGAGCATGCTGGCCCATCCGTGCTTTGATTCTTTGAAATGGCTCTCCCACATTCCGAGCCAGCCAATCAGGAGTCTTCTGCCGTCGACGGCAAGCACTGTTTTCGGGGCGTAAAAATCGTGTCCATGATCAAGTTCCGTAAATGTTGCCGTGGAGACTTCTAAATCATCAAACTGGCCATTAACATAGTTGAAATTAGTGACGATATAGCCAGTTTGATACAGATTTTTAAATCGAAATCCATCGCTAGGCACCCCTTGCAGGCACAACATCAAAACGTGCTGACCATCTATTTCGATCAAATCCGGACTTTCCCACGCATATCCGGTGTCGCCGAGTGACAGTGCGAGAGTGCCGTTCAATTTCCAATTGAAAAGGTCCATGGACGTGTAGAGGAGAAGCCGGCCGACCCCTTCCCGAGTGTTAGTGAGGAGCATGTACCAGACATTCCTGAACCTCCAAACTTTAGGGTTTCGTGAATCCTCCGCCCCAAAAGCTCCGTCCCGAACAACAGGATTGTAAATATACTTCTGAAATACGATACCATCTGTGCTGATCGCCACGTTTTGCGTTTGGAGCGTCGCGTTTTCTGATACGGCATTACCAGTGTAGAACAGCACCAGGTACCCGTTGTGGGCGATGGCGGATCCTGATAAGCATCCGTGTTTGTCGTAGAGCTCGCCGGGGATGAGGGCCGGTGGATAAAACGTCCAGTCGACAAGATTATCGCTGACTACGTGGCCCCAACTTATAGGACCCCACGCGCCATTGTACGGATGATATTGGTAAAAGATATGGTACTGCCGTTTGTAATACACGAACGCGCTGGGATGGTTCGTCCACGCGTGGGCCGCTGATATGTGGTACAGTGGACGATATCTCTGTTTCAAACAGTAACGATTCTCCTGTACAAAAGTCTCAATATGAGACAAGTCTACCGCGAAGACCGCGCAAACGAAACGCAAATATAATGCCACAACTAAAACGTCCATTTACGTGGAGATTTTATTAACAATTGAAAAATCTTCATCCGAGTACCTAATCGGCTAGTAATAGATTCTGTTTGTAAACAATGATGCAAAAATGATGTAATAAATGCATTATTTACAACAACAATTATAACACAACAGTAATCAATAACAGTCGCGTATCGGGTGGTTAAATGAAAATCGAAGTTTTTATTTATTTATTTATTCATTTATTGTAACACGAAATATATTATTAAAAAATTTAAATAACATATCAAAATGTAAAACATTTATAGTATTCGCTGTTTAGAGTTAAAAGATTGTAAACGGTAAATGTAACAGAGTCCTTTAACGCCTTATTGCTTTGAAGAAGAAAAAGCGAATCTTGTTATTATGCGAATTCATATTCTTCTATACAAGATGGCGCGATGGCGTATCCTTTGAATTCCTTTGCACGCCACTTAGACAAACAATTATATTTATATATGTTATATGTATAAGAAATTTATACACATTTATTTAAAAAAATATCAAAATGGTTTCTAGAGTATCATTAATTATTCGAGATATGACAATGCTTATTTTTAATTTATTATTACTATTTTAAAAAATATTGCATTTCTATTCGATAGATAGCTAACAGCCGTGTATATACAAATAAATAACTTGAGCAAACATACGTGAGCTTAGAGATTTATAAAAACATTTTTGTTTGAAATTAAAATACATATTATCTTAATTAACAAAAATAATTCTAATTGTGCATAATTACGTACCTATTTACTTTACAATTATATAATAATGGAATGTTTTAACTATTGAAATAAAAGTCTAAAGTCTAACATAAAAGTCTTAAGGTATATAATATTATGACTGAACAAATATATTTATTTTAGACTTATTTTTATTTGAATGTGTTCATAATACGTCATATACATAGTTAGGTAACAAAAATCTAGTTTTGTTTGCATTATGAATGAAAACTTCTTCGGTTATTCTCATATTTATTTTCTTCACTTTAAAGTTTTTTTTAACTATAGTCTCCTAGGCACCGACTCACTACAACACTGAACACATTGCGAACACATCCAAGAAAAAAGTTATTCAAAAATATATTTTTCTAAAATCCAACAATTAAAATTAAATACCGCAAAAAGGCACATAAGGGTCTGATTATATATATTATAATATTTAATCGCATGCATATATACATGCCTTTTTTTTTTCATATTTTGTAATTTATTAGCTCACAAATCGCGCGTCACGTTTATTTTGTGAACCTTTTAGTTCTTAAGTTAATTTATTGAACTTAGGTACATTGCGCTAATTCTACCATAAATGTTGACTGAATGAAATATATTAATAATTATCTTTGAATTCTGGAAATCAGAAGCATATGCAAGTTGGAACTGGCTGTATGGCTGTATGCAAAAATCGTTTTTATTCTATATTGTATATTCAAAATTCTTAAGACTATAATTTTAATACGAATTATTTAACAAAATCTCCCGCTACTGGTGGCTGCACAGATAATTAATCAACATTATGCATTCTTTTTGTTAACCCGATTCGTGGATACTTATAATTACAACTATTTTTACCTTTCAATCTCGCCTTTATTTTTGACATTTCGAATACTTCACAGTGGTTTCGTTGTCACGGACGCATGGACAGAAAAAATTGTTTATAACTATCTCTCCTTTGTCGTATCACTCTTGTCAGAGTGGTCGTGATCGTCTTTCAGTATCATTGCTGTGGGCAGGTGTTATGCGCCTCACGAGCATAACATCTATAAAATTAAAACTATACCGGGTCTAATTATAGTCAGTATAGTAGTTGTGAGCCTGCAAGATTTTTTGGCGGGAACGCAAGGAGTGAAGTTGTGTGATTTTTTTACTGTCTATTTAGTGTTTATTCCGGTTTAAATGTGTAATAACATTGGTTTATTAACTGTTCAGTATCTCTGGAAGTACATAAATGTGAGAAAATAAAACAAAGCCAATGGACGTAACTTCTCAGGATCCTCCAAAAAATCCACTGAAAAAGTCTGAGTAAATGACCACCGTTTTACTGAAATTATATTTCATCCCATATCATCTCATTTTATCTTATCTCATTTCATTGCATGCCATGTTTCATATTTTCATTAAAATAAGACTTGACCCAAAGGTTTTAATTACCAGGTAATTAAATCCCTTAAAAAAATGTGGGCCTGGATATGCTATTCGAAATAACTAATCCCTTTAGTATGGCGCGGAAGCGGCGGGCGGCAGCGCGGCGTGGAGGCGCGCCCAGGCGGCGGCGGCCCGCGCATGCCCCGCCCCGCGCGCCCGCGCCAACCCCCCCAGCGCCTGCAGCGCGGCCGCGGCGTACGCGCGCCACACGCACGCTTCCTGTACAGTACAACACGGGTACTCTTAAGGCTTCGTCAAACAGAACGCGTACTTAGCGCTGCGTTTTAAAGTCGCGCTGTTTTGATGTCACACTAATTGACTAGATAGTCAAGATCATAGTACCTTTCGATAGCAGTGTGAAAAATTTAAAAGTATTAAGATGTCGAGTGATTCAGATACGGCATTGTATAAGCATGGGTATTTTCTAACTAATCCTCAATCAATTTTTCGGGCTTTATCCAATGTTTTAATAAACATTCACTCGGACGCTAAAATAAAATTTGTAAAAAATTACAACGCCTGACGTCGAAGTGTCCTAACGCCGTGACAGAGCGTTGCGTACTTATAGCCCTGGCGCTCTGTTTGGCAGTATATTACCATAGTAGTACAACACATCTCGGCATCATAGCGTGCCGACAGTTTAGCGTTCTGACGCGCGCTAAGTACGCATTCTGTTTGACGAAGCCTTTAGAACCACAAGTTCGGGCGTAACTGGAATAAACCCCCAGTGAATAGGTAGGGAAAAAAAATTCTTAGAAGGATCAACAAAAATCTCCCATCGAGCGCGTGATATTGCCGCGTAGACCGACAGTCCTAACATTGTTGTTGTTCAGAACTTGTACATACGCAATATATCTTGAAACTGTTTGTTACTGGTGGTAAGAACTCTTGTGAATCCGCACCGGGTAGATACCACCACCCCGCCTATTTTTGCCGTGAAGCAGTAATGCGTTTCGGTTTGAAAGGCGGGGTAGCCGTTGTAACTATACTGAGACCTGCCTTAGAACACATATCTCAAAGTGGCATCGGTAGTGCATAATTTAAGCAATAAAAAAACTCTAACCATAGACACTTAATACTCTAACTCACAACGCCACTCACCTTGACACGTGACAGCCTAGAATCGACTAGATTTTCTACGAAATTTTATGGTTTAATTTGATGAAAATTTTGTAACACATCATCGATTTGGAAAAACTGTGAAATCCTCCGAAAATATCTGATTAATTGTCACCCAGGTGTAGTGAGTGTGAGTGTGTGTGTCAGTACCTGAAGGACGGCGGTGAGCGCGTAGAGGTGTCGTCTCCGCAGCTGCGCGTGCGGCGGCGCGAGCGCGGCGGCGGCGGCGCGCTCTGCGTGCAGGCCGCGCCCCAGCCGCGCGCACAGCTCGCGGCCGGCCGCCAGCGCGTCGCGCGCCAGCGACACCCGCCCCTCCGCCTCGCTGTCCACAGACTCGTCGTCGAACATCTCCCCGGTACATACCCTGCACGTAACCATAACCGAAAACTGTTGTGGAATACAAGAGTACTTACAGAGTTTACCTAGATAGTTTAATAAAACATTGAGTACACAGTACACACAGTACAGCCCACAGCAATGATGCTGGATGACGACCACGACCGCTCTGACACGAGTGATACGACATACGAAAAAATATATACAGTTTAGGTAGACAGTATGATAGATACATTAAATTTCTCCCACAAAGTCGTCGTGGCCTAAAGGACGCCTGATGCGTTCGTATCGTAACACAGATTCACGAATGAGTTCCAAGATGAAAGAATCACTTTTGTATAATAAGTTATAATTTGCGTAATTACTCGTAGTAGGGTGTCTTGTGAACCTACACGGGTAGGCACCACCACCCTGCCTATTTCTGCCGTGAAGCATTGCGGTTTGAAGGGAGACACAGCCGCTGTACTGTAAAGCTATCACTTATTATTGGTATTATTTATTCGTCATTTAAAAAAAAGATATGTCTCACAGCGCCGCGTCGCCGTAAGCTTGCTTGAGCCGGGTCCAGAGCGGGGTGTCGGCGGCGTCCCGCGTCGACAGCGCCTGCAGCGCGGCCCCCAGCTCACGGAAATCTGATTTTTCTGCTTCGCATCTGATTTTAACTAAAAACAGAACTTACAATTTTATAAAACGCTTATAAAGACCGCGCTGAACCAATACCCTATATATTGGTATAAGACGAACCGGTCGCATACCAGAAATGTAATTATATCGATGTTTCAGCTTTAAATAATTCTATTTATGATTTTCCCCTGGATTATGGGTGCAGTGAAAATTTTTTTCACGCCCACTGGGAATCGAATCGTTTTGTTTTAAGCTATTATTCGTTTCGATACAGGAAATAAATATGGGTCTAAAAGAAGTAAAGGGAACGTATGGCCAGACGAAGACATCACCAACAACCGGGAAGTTAAATTATGAAACCGACAATTCAAAGTGGATTTCTCAGTTTTTAGTAAAGTTTGATATAATTAAACATTTTTTTGTTTTTTATTTGGCAACACTCATATGCAAGACATTCAACTAACCTCTATCGAATATCTGCGCTAGCCTATCCATCCCCAAGTACAAGATCCGCAGTTGTTCCTGCTCCTTCGCAAACCTCGCCTTCATTTCCTCTAGAGGTGTTTCTTCCTACAATAACAGACGAGAAGTTATTGCTTCACCCACTAGCTTATTGTTTATTATAGGTTTTTTTAGCCAAATATAAAGCTTGCTATTCGTGCAGACGTAATGTGACGTGTCGCTTCGCAAAAACTGTCGTGTAATAAAAATAAAACCCATAGGAGGAATATACTGCTACTGCTAGTCACTGCCTTTTTTTCCTACCTATGCTGATAGCCTTGAGAGGCTATATCAACGTTACTCTAGCGCAGTGATTCTCAACCACTGTGCCGCGGCACTTTTGTGTGCCGCCAAATTTTGCAAATATATAGTAATGTTGATATTATTAAATTATATAATTTAAAAAGAAAAATATTTTTAACATTAATATATATTTAAATTCACAAAAAAATTAATTATTTTATTATTTGCTTTGCAACGCGGTTTTTCTTAGTGCCAAATTATGATGAAGCGGCGTGCATAGCAATAGGAATATGTCTCAAGTCAGCGCACACTTGCCACTTCTGCGTACAAAACGTGTTGTTTTAGTGATAGTTGGGATTCACAAGGTGTTGCATAGTAATTACTGCACCTTTTCTTTCGTTAAAATTGGCAAATGTATGTGATTCGGTAGTAAGTAAATAATTTTTATCTTTTTCTTTGTGTGCCGCCAAATTTTGAAATCGTTAAATATGTGCCGCAACAAAAAAAAGGTTCAGAATCACTGCTCTAGCGTGTAGGTGAGTTCTCGGGGCTCAAACCGGAGGTGTTGCTAACATTGACCCTAGCAAGGGCCATGCTTCGCAGAATCTACCACCGGATCGGAAACGCGATCCACTGAGAATTCGATCGCCGGATCTCCGATCTGCCGTGAAGTAGTCATGCATACTGGTTTGAAGAAGACCGTATCTGGACACAATTACATCATTGACACACTCAATTTACAGCAGTCCAAATCTTGCCTTTCGGAAATATAGGTTTATTGATTTACCAAAGAATGATTGGATGATTTATTTATCTAATTAAAGTGGACAAGTCCATCTGTGAAAATTAATTGTAAAAATAAATAGATAAAATTAAATGAAAATGAAACATTCAAAGTTATTTAAGCTACCTCTAATACATCTTATAAATGCCTATATGTAATAACAAAGCCAAAATGAAAACAGTTTTTCAAATAAATTTGTATTAAAGATGTACCGACTTAGCTCACTAAATATTACAATATATTATATTTAAATTAATAATTAATATTCAACATAAGGGAATCTATATCTTCTACTGAATTACTCACATGAAATCCAAGTGTTCAGCTATGAATATTAAGTAAAATTATTATTTTCCTCTATTAATTTATCTTATCTTATTAATAAAGTAATGTTAAGCCTGCAGGACCGATGTCACTTTAACACCGTTGTATTGTTCTAATTCGATTTAATAAACGACACTTTAGCACTTAATCTAGATTTGCCTAAACTAAAGGTTATATTGATTAACATTTCACTAAATAAAGATAAATCTACAGAGGGATGGGAGGGGGTTTTCCACGGGGGTCCTTTTCGAAATTGTTTGATGATTCTGTCATCTTGTTGTTGCTATGGCAACGTCTGCCATCCAAGCAGAATTCATGAAAACTACCATTTTAATAGAAAATAATTACATTGAAAGTCGTCATGGCCTAAAGAATAAGACGCGCGATGCGTTCGTATCCAGCGATGCGACTGTGCTGAGTGTGCCGGTGCTTCTAATGTAATACGAACTTAATAAAAAATCATGAATGACTTCCAAGATCAAGGAATATCATCTATACTAATATTTATATAAATCTACAGTGGTTTTTACGTATGTTCCGTTATAACTGCTGAACCATGCATCCGATTGACTTGAAACTTGGTATCCATGTAGAAAATACATGTACTTAATGGATAGACTAACATTTATATGAGTGCTGGACTCCCTAATCATAATGACAATAAATAATAATGTTAATTTTAAATGCCCAGCGAAGCGGGCGAGTACGGTTAGTCGTGTAATAAAAATAGAATCCGCAAAAATTCGCAATTACTGGTAGGACGTCTTGTGAGTCCGCACGGGTAGGTACCAACAGCCTGCCTATTTCTGCCGTGAAGCAGTAATGCGTCTCGATTTGGAGGGTGGGGCAGCCGTTGACGATATTGCCGAATCCAACAGAGATAGGCCGAAGGGCGTGGGTTCGTGTGACGAACAGGTTCATTCCCGCCAGGGAATCCTAGTGAAGGGTCAGAAGACCGTGCGTGATTTCTCCCCGGTTATTATTATTATTACATAATATCTGTATCAGAATAGTTTATTTATTAAGTCGCACAAAACAAGAACAAATCAAATTACTAATAAAACATTAATGATGAATTTAAAGACAAGACTATTCCTCAAGTTCTTGGAAATTATATGATGGCTTGTTACGTTACACTGAGCTTAGGTGTTTCACATTAACCGCCAAAAGCTCCGCAATGAAAATTGGTAGACGCTAAAAGTTTTCTAGATGTTTCTGAGACACGTGAATTTAGTTCTAACTTAAAGTTTACAATACCTGTTCATCGCACTGAGTACCGGCAAGCACGAACTCGTCGTGCTTAGGTTTCTCGAGGCGCAGGACCGACTCAGATAGAAAGGTGCGCAAGTCAGCGTCATGCGCCAATATTGGATGACAGGCGGCCAACGAAAGCCAACGTTGGAGAGCAGCGCGACGGGATTCTAAGAACTGTCCACTTCCGCCCCCAACCACCACACGTTTCGGAGGTAGCTGACATACAGCCCTGCAAACCAGTCAATTTTTTAATAATTTCTGTGTTATTTATATTATAGTTAATATAAAGGATGTAGAGTTGGTGCATCCACCATTGCATTAAATAATGTTTTTGGGTGGCACTCAAACCAATTTGAATGGAATGTGGAATCTGTCTTCACTCGTGTTTACTGCCAATGATTTCCAGTTACATTGGAGGTTGATGTTCTTCAAATCAGCCAAAAATACACTTGTGTACATTTTTACAAAAATTCGACAGTCTAGCTATTCTTAAGTTAGGGTGACCATAGAAATCATACTATGAATACCGTTGACCACTTGCTGTTATAATGGCTGTTCTACTGCACAAACTGGATGCATGACTACTTTGTGGTAGATATAAGTGAAACGGTGCGGGCTTGCAATATGTCCGCACAGATAGATACCTTCTGTCATTTGAATCCCAAATTATGTGCCAAAATTACTCATATTTACGCCTTGATGCATGTCTTAAAACAGTACATGATTTAAATTATGGAGGTACCTTTTTGTTCATTATTTTGGTGTAAATTGATCCTGTAATTTATATTTTTATAAAACATAAGAATTATTATTTTTGTTACTAAAAATATATGGAGCAGTGAAATAAATTTATTTTCTAAAGGCAGTGCATATTTTTGAGATTACTTGCCTACCTATTTACGATATTTATGACCCTACTTATTTGTACCACGGTGACAGTGATGCATTCCAGTTTGCAAGCCTAGTGTACAATTTGATTGAGATATCTTTTGTTATCATGAAAGAGGCATTTCTCATCTTGCATGACTCAAAGTAAGTAGTAACATTTACTTTTTTAAGGCTTTCTTTAGATAATATTCATTTACTGTTCAGTTTCACAGAAACACAGCTTTGCTCTAGCAATTAATTAAAAAAAAGTTTTTTAGTGACCTTTGCTTATTGTCAAAAAGTAACCAATATGAAATTTACCGATAAGGATATTTAGCAAATAGCACATCGTAAAGCTGTACAAAATCATTATATCTTCTGGTTACAGTTGTGCCATGACGCCTTGAGCTGACATAATACTCGCAGTGTTTTAGTATAATTCCCTTCCGTTCAGGTACAAGATCTATGCTTACAACATCAGTTGCTTCAAGCTCTTGAAATGTTACTTCATTTGTATTTGTCATAATTGTCTGGAAATAAAAAATAAAAAATTATAATTCAATCTTCCATTCAATGAAAAAAATTCAAGTAGGCATTTGAAAAATCTAAAATGAGTAAATTAAACAAGTCAGAAATTTCTTTTACTTTATCTAGAAATTGTTACATACTTTTTTAAAAGTAATATTATGATTATCTGTGAATACACATGCTACTAGTTATACACAATGGTTTGTCTAATATTTTAAATTATTTAAAAAAGGTTAATTTCCCACATCACAACTTTTTTGGATAGGGTATTAAAATTGTTTATGAAGTTGCAGAATTGAAAAAAACCCAATTTGTTCAAAATGACGTAAATTAATTTAAAATTACCCACATAAAGGTTTGTGTAAATTCCAAATAATATTCCAAAATAAGAAATCTTTAAATATATTTTGTTTGTCCATAAAATAGGACAACAAATCACCTTTTTTCAAGTTTTATCAACTGCGATCACACTTGAATAAATTTAAACATATTAAAAACAAATGAAACCAATAATATTGTTGTGTGCAACCAACGCAACAAATTTCGTAACACTTACCGGTGTTTTATTACTCTATCATTTTGTTTACTTCCTTAAATTAATGCATTGGCGATTAAAAGATCGCTGCACGAATCCACCTCCAAACTTTCTACGACAGACATTTCCACGACAGAACAACTGTGACAGAAAATAAAGAGTACAGAAATAAACACGGTGGCTCTATCATTTCATTAGTATAATCTATGATATTGATGTAGGTATGGATTGTTAAGACTTTTTGGCGGGAATGCGAGGAGTGAAGTTGTGTGATTTGTTTTATTTTGTCAATTTACTGTTTCTTTAGGTTTAAATGTGTAATAACGGTGGTTTATTAACTGTTTAATATCTGTGAAAGTGCACAAGTGTGGGAAAATGAAACAAAGCCGCTGGACGTAACTTCTTGGGATCCTCCAAAAAGTCCACTGAAAAATCTTAGTAAATGACCACCATTTTACTGAGATTATATTTCATCCCATATCATCTTTTTTTTTATTGCTTAGATGGGTGGACGAGCTCACAGCCCACCTGATGTTAAGTGGTTACTGGAGCCCATAGACATCCACAACGTAAATGCGCCACCCACCTCGAAATATAAGTTCTAAGGTCTCAGTATAGTTACAACGGCTACCCCACCCTTCGAACCGAAACGCATTACTGCTTTATGGCGGCAATAGGCGGGGTGGTGGTACCTACCCGTGTGGACTCCCAAGAGGTCCTACCACCAGTAATTACGCAAATTATAATTTTGCGGGTTTCATTTTTATTACACGATGTTATTCCTTCACCGTGGAAGTCAATCGTTAACATTTGTTGAGTACGTATTAGAAAAATTGGTACCCGCCTGCGGGATTCGAACACCGGTGCATCGCTTTATACGAATGCACCGGACGTCTTATCCGTCTTATTTAATTTAATTCCAGTAAATTAATGTTTCAAATTAATCATCTTTCATTCTCTCCATATTATCATTTTTCATAAAAACAACAATATCAATAAAAATAAGACATGACCTAAAGGTCTTAGTTATCAAGTCATAAAATGCCTTAAAAAAAATGGATTGTTATTATTTTTATAATTTTTTATTCATTTTTCATTTTTATTCATTAAAACTTATTATATACAGTATCATTGAGTTTTATTTTAATATTATTGAACAGACCTTAGATTTTTAATAGTATTAATCATAATTTTGAGAAACCCTTTTATTATTTAATTTTGTCAAAAACGAAAATAAAAAACAGCTGCATCTAATAAAAATTGGAATTTAACATATTAGAAAATATTACCGACAAATAAATACATACATAGTTTTTAATTATTTATATGATAAAATAATATGGAACTTGTTTTTTACTTCTCGGTGTTTTTATTATATTTGTTTTATTTTGTTTCATTTATAATTTTACTTATTGTAATTGCACACAAAAAAATATTTTTGATATTACTTAAAAAATTAAATGGAATATAATCATATACATACATGTCAAATAAAACATAAAATAATCAACCATCTTTATTTATGAATTGTATCAAGTTGGATGATTTAAAGATACGATTCTTCTTTTGTAACAATTCATCTTCATCCATAGGTTCTATAATAGCGCCTGCCATAGTGACAACATTTGGACGTGTAAGTTTTCGGTGTGCAGTCTCAGGTATAAATGTGTTGCCTAATGGAGCTCTTAGTGAGGCCTCGAATTCTTTAACACTGTTGAAAGGATATGGGAGTTCTTTTACTTTATGTGCATCCAATTTTAGATCCTTGTACTCTTTAATGATTACATCACCTTTGTTCTCATCCCTCCTGGGAGTTTTTGGGGCAAATTTAGTAATGAATCTATTTCTTTTTCGTTTCGGTGCTTTCACTCCTTTTCCTCCCCACGCTCCCCATCCTGGCAGAGTCAAGTTAATATCTTCAGGCTTATCTTTATTAGCCTCATCTTCTTTTTCTTGCCTAAAGCTAGCTACAACATCATCTTCCTCAAATACTTCTTCTATATTGACTTTTGGTACAACTTGTTCATCATCTAAAACATCTAATTCAGTTTCTTGTCGAGATATTTCAGAGTTTAAGAATTTCGGTTTGACCTCAATAAATTTACTGGGATCAATGTTTGAGTTTGTAGGTTCCTCAGCTGGAATCTTGTTATGTAGCATAGCCCTCGACATAATATCATCAGATATTGTTTCTTCAGTAGGAATAGTTTTTGAAGTAGTTTCTAGTAACTGTTCATCAATTATAGCTTTCTTATTTTGAGTTGCTAATTTTAAGTACTCCAAATTATTCTCAGGTATATATGATTCACTGTTTCCTATTCTTTTGGGTTTCTTTTTACTCTTTGAAGCTGTTAGCTGTTCAAGCTTTCTTAATTTCCTCCTGAAAATATCTAATTTCATATTAACTTGTTTCGATATGTTTCTTTCCAAATTATCAAATGCACCCCCAACACCTTCAGTGTACTTTTTATCTTTATTCTCTACAGGTTCAACAGTCCAATAAGATGTTGCTACCAGTTTAGTTTTAAGGGATTTTTTATTATTAATAAGAGTTTCTTTATTTTTCTTCATTTTGTTTTCTTTTTGTTTTTGTTCTGTTTCAACAATCTTGTTTTTTGTAATATTGGAATTGTTCTGAATTGGTTGATTCAGATCTGATTGATTTTGTTCAGTACTGTTGTCTTCTTCAATATTTTTATCAATTTGTGCACTTTCATTTTTGTTGTTAAATATTTTCTCAATTTTATTTTTTAAAGTATTTAATCCAGCATCAGAACATGCTTTTGTAGTATCATTATTTTTTTCTGCTTCATCTTCACTACCACTGTCTTCTTTATGTTTAAACATTTTTCCTTTCAAATATTTTTTGTAGCCGAAATCAAATTCTGCATCAACATTAGACTTATTGTTTTGTTTCAACATCCAAGGATTCATCGGGTCTTGTGCTAAAGCAATATCAGGAATAACTACATTATCTTCTGCATCATCATCTGAACTATCAGGGTCTTGTGTCTTTTGTGTCAAACTTCGACTAACTGCTAACTGTTCTGCTATTTCTTGCCGAGCCTGTAATAATAAACAAAAAAAAATATTAGTTTATTACTCTGTACCAACAATCCTCTTCAGAATATTAATCTTCTCAAGAATAAGACTGTCTGTTCATATAGTAAGAACTAATAAATTATTATTAATATAAATTATTAAAACTATTATTTGTTTTAACTTCATTTCTAATTACTGAGTTTAATCAGTTATTCTAATTCAATTGAGACTTTAAGCTGCAGTATCCACATTGTGATGTCTAATATCTATCAATTACTATAAATAAAATTGTTTACATACCTCTTTATCATACTTTGCTCTGATCATTTTATTTTTTGCCCACTTTCCAGTGTTCTTATGCCGCAGTGTATGTCTTTCTAATGCTCTAGATTTTTCCAGAGCCTCCAATTTCTTTAAGGCCTCCTCTGGATTACTTTTTTGTAATTCTTCAAACTCTTTTAACTGTTGTTTTAGCCTGTCTTTCTTCAAAATTCTGAAAGGAGAAAGTCACATAGACCTGCTGGTATGAAAGACACACTGAAACAGTTTACTACATTTAAAAAATATCTACTAAGAATAATTACAATATATTTCATTTTCATTCATATTTCCACCATTTGTACTACTATATTTATATTTGCTATAAAGCTATTAAATTAATAAACAATAATAATAATTTAAGTAAAATAACCAGATGAGAATGAAACTACTAACCTATGATATTTCTTGCTCTTGATTTTACTTTGGCGTTTAGCTTTTGCAGCTCTATATGATTCTTGAGCTCGTATTTTTGCCAAATGTTGCCTGTGCTCAACCATTTCTTCATACGACATTGGGTACACCTGTTCTTCCTCATCGTCTTCCTGAACAATATCTGGTGGATCAACTGCCTCCAATTCGCGTTCTAGTTCAGATTTAGTTTTTAATTTTGAAATGAAGGCTTGCGTTGGCTGCAATCTATTTTCTGCTTTTTTCAAAGGAAAGAAAACCTGGTCCACTGTTCGACTGCGAGCAACAATGGGGTCCCACCGACCAACTTTCTTTTTTGTTTCTAAATATCCTGTCGCTCGCTTTATACGCTCAACCTGTGGTTTTTCTAATGGTTTACTTAGGACCTTGGACTCTTCCTGGCTTTTCAACAATTTTTTCGTAATCTCTACATGTGAAGCAGTATCACTCAAAATGTTAGAAACATTTTTCAAAATTGACTTATTCGATTTTTTTATCAAATTAAATTCCGAATTGATGTTTGTGGGCTCATTGCGTGTGGGCTCTATTATATGCTGAGTTTTATCTAATTTGGAAATCACACTAATTAGTTGATCATGGTCCGAAGCTATGTGCTCTATATCATCAATACCTTCCATCTTATGTAACTTTGTTAATAATTAGCAATATTAAACTACGGAACTTGAAATTGCTACTAGCATGAAGTTTTGTTTAATTTTACCACGTTATCCTTAAAATACATAAAAATCTTTCACATAACCTAAAAAATTAAAATTACAAATTTGTCAGATAATGTCAAAAAATAGATGTGTCAAATCGGAGCAAAGGGACATAGGCTATATAGCCAAATTTTTGGAAAAAGGTGAAAATGTTCGAATTCATAATACAAACAGTGGATGGAAAGGAGAAAGATGTAATGGAATTGAATGAATTCGAACTACGAGAAATGAAATAAAAACGTAGGTAGAATGGCAGGAGATTGACAATTTCTTGGAGTGTTTTAAAGAACACAACATCCATCCACTTCTAGCTTTTTTCATTTTCCAACAGTTTAACTCTTAGAAAGATTAACTAAACTATTAATAAGCCACAACCAGTACACACTTTTACATCCTCAGACACCGAAGACCGTTTGCTTTATTATATTTACGACGGACAATGAGAGAAAATTTATTCCAGATCGAAAAATAGTGTAGTAACATAAATTAATAGGGATAAAAAACATAAATTTTTTAGGTAACCTCCTTTTTAATTTCGCGTTTTTATTGTCATTTTAATATTTCCGACGTTTCGAATACTCTACAGTTTTCGTGGTCGCGGACGATTGAATTGTTATTTGTCGACATTACAATATTGCGCTAAG